ATTGTCTCTCCAAAACTTTAGAAAAAAACCTAATTGCAAAATGTCCATGAATTTATTTTGCTGAAGAAAATGTCCCATAGATGGCCAAAAAGCTACTGCATACTGGCATCTGTCCATGGACCAGGGGTTGAGGAACATTTTAACCAGACCTTCCTTACATAATATAATGTGTGAATTATACATTTCCCTCAGAAAAACCCAATCAAACAAGCTCCAAGCTGACAATGAGCAATGAAAGAGTGTTTGGACACAGCTTTAGAGATTGTGGCATGCTCAACAGGGTACATGACCAAGTCTATATATGGGAAATTGGAACAAGGGCAGCAAAAAGGTAAATGACCTGTGACCAGACACAGGATGATGAGGATTATTAAGCAACCTGGCTGCTTTGTGTCATTAGGAAGGTGTGGCTACTGCAACATGCACAAAAATAATGGCACTTTAAACTTGTTTTCAGAAACCCAAAAATTTTAAATGAATATCTTGTAATTCGCAAATAAATGTTTTGGAATTCTTCTGATTCTTTTCAGTGCATTCAGATGAACAGATGTTCAGAAGCAACTTTAACATTTTCAGTAAACATTCATTTTTGTTTACATTATTCATATGTTTATGATTATTATGTCAGTCAATTGATGAGTTTCAGAAATCTCTTTTTCCTTCTGTTAACAAAATCCACAACTAATGTTTCAATTGTTTAATATTGTAGTATTGTGGTTATCTACTAAAGAAAGACTAAAAGTTTGGGATATCAAATTATGATGATATTTGTTACATGGAGCAAACAAATTGAGAAATGGATAAGAATAAAAAGGAACACTTCATATGTGCAGTCTGAGACATTGTACATTTCTTGTGAAAGAATTTTTCTTCAAAGATCCCATTTGCTATTACAAATATTAAACTCACATTTTAGTGTTTCCTTGATTCGTGTGAGTGCAAAAGATTGTGAAATTGGTGAGTTGAACAAATAAATCAACCATCAGCATTGAGAATTATTCAGCAGTAAATATAACACCCAAAAAAGGAAGGGGATTACAAGGAATGATCAATTTTGAAACATTATAGAAATGGATCAGAAACCTTCTGATGTTGCCCAGGCCATGAATGGTCCCAGCTTCACAGAATGCATTGAACTTGCCCTTCATGAGAACGGAAATGGATTTTTTGAGAGGTGGACGGTTTGTGGACCTCTCTCTGAATTTCACAGCCTCTCTGGCCTTTTCCTCAGCTCTCATCATGTTGTTGTTGCTGGTGCTGTTGCGCATTTGTTGGTCTTTGTCATCCTCAGCTCCTTTAGGCATTTCTTTATGCAAAAAAAAACTCTCCTCTTACCTTCCAAAGAAGAAAAAATTAAACCTCCAGAGAGATGAGATCAATTTCCTCTGCTTGTCACCTTCTTTTATGGGTTGTGAAGAAATATGCAAAAATGGCACTCCTTCTGTCTCTCTTTTTTTTCTTCTTATCTCCCTCTGATGGAGAAATCTGCACAGATGAGGTAATGAAAAATATGAGCAAGTATAATTTCATGCTTGATCTTCATCTTTCAGCATCTCTTTGATGTTTCATGCATGAATAAAGTTATTTTTTGCATCAAAAAACAGGTCAAAGGCTTCATAAATTTTTCATACAAACATTCACTTTTTGAAACTCACACAAGCATTTGAAAAATAAAGGTAATTAAGGAAAACATCCTTGGGAGAATTTTGTCTACAAATCCTCAATTTTATTTTTTTTCAAGCATTTTATATTTATTTTTTTTTTACAAGAAACATGCTTTGATTACTTCACTGAATCAGAATGAAGAGACATGATCATGAAAATTCATCCAATTCACTCCATGAAAGCATATAAGAAATACAAACCCCGAACGTGTCAACACATAAAATTGTTAAAATGAGGTCACCTGAAATCTTTACAAGGAATGAAAGAAAACTCTTTAAATTATGATTCTTTGACCTTGATAGATTTTGTGGTTACAAAATAGTTCACTTTGGAGAATTAAACCTTGGAGAAAAGTGTCTTTTTTTAATTCACTGTTGGAATCAAGGTTCCTTGTGATCTCGCATACCCAGAAGGATCCTCCAGGGGCACTGGAGATCCTCAGCAGCCGGGATCCTCCGTTTATACCCCTCCTTGGAACATCCCAAGGATTCACATGAATGTTGCAAAGATGGCCTCCGTTCATCTATAACATAGGGGGAAAAAACTTCAGGATGAGAAGAAAAGGAAATATTCGCCATGTATGTTCAGCAGGGCGATGCTCTGGCACACACAAGATTCCTTTGCAAACACTGGGAGGGATCACGTGGCAGATCATCAGGCACAAGTGTCTTCATCTTCCATGGAATTCCTGAGTAGAAACCCCCCTTGAATTTCGTCACATAATGATCTACCACAGCAACCTGGAAGAATTTTTCATAGTTAACTTTTATTATCATCGTTATGTGAAAATAAAAAAAAAAGGTTTCCAATCCATTTTCCTCTGCTTTTGAATATCAGTTTTGTTTCTGTGAAATGGAAATCACACATGAATGAATGAACAGAACACTTTATTTGCCACTTTTCAGCATTCACAAGGTTCAATCAAGAGTTCCACATCCAAACCCCCTCCCCACCTAACCCAAATCAACTAAAAGGCATTTAATCACTTTAGAGCAGGAAACAGAGCCCAAATGGATAACAAAATTAAAAGAAAATACAATCCACAAAATACAACTGGACATCTGACATGTATGCATACACCCATTCCTTCCCTGAAATTGTAAAGAATATGTCAGTAACAATTGATTTAAAGCACAAGGTCTACAGCTTGTTCCTGTATCAGGTTCAGTTACTTTAGTTGAATGAACAATTTAGAGAGAATCGTTGATGAGAAATCATACAAGGCCAACTGTTTATCTTGATACTTTCAGATTTCAAAAATTAAGATTTTCTTTAAGATTTTCATAAATCTCACAAAAGAGCAAACCTCTATATATGCATGAAGGGATCATGAATTGATTGTGTGAGTGGTTTTCTCATAAATCATCTTTTCTACCACAAATTAAGGATTCAAGGATATATTCCTCATAACTAAACTGCAAGAAACTCTAAGAGTCAGTACTACATTCCATTTTGGATAACATTCAACCCCTGCACAACAGACTCAATATGTGCAACAGACTAGTCCATTATGCCAATTGAATTATTGAAATTTTTTTTTCAATAATTTCAAACCAACAGAAGTCTGTTATGTGGATTCACTCCACTACACAGGAGGGAAAACTACCTCCAGATGAAGTCTGTTGTGCAAAAATCTGTTGTGTAGGAGGTTTGTTGTGCTGGGGTCAACTGGAAAGAAAATGAGGACCATCCCTTTTGAACATGAGTCATTATAGTGTAGTGCTAACCCTTATCTAAGTTTGTCCCCCACTTACTATTGAAATTACTGACAGCAGGTTACAGAAGTTACATACAAGCTGCATAGAGATGAAGGTTTCGCTGTTTTTCCCATTGCAGTTTTTNTGAGCATCAATAAGAATTCTAAAGAATCCAAACTCCAAGCAAGGGCTGAACACCTTTCAAGCTAAATTCTTTTTTTTTATCCCATAAAATTTTTGTAAACTGAGGATGTTCAGGTATTTTTTCAGCAATCAAATCATAGAACAATAAGCCTTCAATAAAGAAGTGCCATTAGAATGAAGTCAACTCCCTTACAACAGACCTCCAGCATAACATATTTTAGCAGAACATACTGGGTCTGGAGACAGTTTTTCCTCTTGCATAACAGACGAATCTGCATATCAGACTTCAGTCTGTAAAAGTGCACACCGCCATTTAACGGGAATCCCTCAGATCCCTACTGGCTTTGCTACTTAATTTGAATATAAAATTTTATTATTATTGCTATGAATTTGTGATTGTTGTGGTCTCAAGCTATTTTGGTCATAATCATGGTTGTTTTAGAGTGAACATGTTGGACAATCAAATTTGTATAACAGACTTTTCATGCAACAGACTAGTATCTCCATAGCACAAATTAAGTCTGTTGTGCAGGACTTGACTGTACATTCTCAAATACAGTATGTATTTATACTGTATATTGATTAAATGTTCACTTTCATTCTACTGGAAATTCACTGGTCAGATCCCCATCAACATTTTATTTACTCAAGTATTTCAACAAAAGTCATTTTTATGGTTCAATTTTCAAACTCTTTGCACAAGAATTGGAACCAGATAAAGTTGAAAACTGAGCTTTTTAGGATAGGTAAATGACAGCAGTTACATTTCATTTCTTCAGTGAGTTACATAAAATGTATGTCCAACAATAACCTTCACATAGGCATGAGGGAAAAGCATGATAGTGCACAAAATGGTTGAAAAAATGTTTGGCCCTGACAAATTTTCCAGAAAGTTCTGGCAGAATGTGGGGTTTCCCAAACCAGAAAATTGAACCCTGAGAAAATCCAATTTATTTATTCTATTCACATATACATTACTTCGGATCTCAACTCCCCAAGATAATCATCCAAGTGTCCTTTAGATCCCCTGCTCACAGAATCCACCATTGCAACCTACTCAACACTTCTCAAAGATGTGTATAAAGTTTGTGAAATTGATCACATCATTTGGATATGGAAATTGTTGGCAAGCAAAGGAGAGAATAAAACATTGGCATATCATAGGAGGGATTTATGTTCATCAGGGCAATTCTCAGGTATGCAAACAGAATGTACATCTTTAAACAACAAAAACACTGGGAGGAATCAATTAATTGGCAGATCATCAGGCACATGTTTTTCTGATTATATTTTGCTGATTAAAATTAGCTCTCTCAAATTCATTTTCATATTATCCCTTTTAATTGGTGCCAAAATCATGCTGGAACCCAGAATTTTTAATCTGAACAGTTAAATCTATTGTCATTTCTATTGAATAAAAAAAACAGAGTAGGATGAAATTTTGCTTCCAAAGTGTCTGGAACCAATTTGCTGAATATTCTTGCAAGATCACTTGAGCTTAGGATCAGTAGACCAGTTGACAAAGCCAAGTTGCTTCCTCTTGAGCCTAGTGTAAGGTCCAATATTTGGGTCAAATATCCAGTCAAAAAGAATGCGACCCATTGAATCATGTGTTGGTAGGTTCTCATAGAACTCTGGAGCCATTTTCCTCAACTGTAAAAATTCCAAATAAGTTTGAACCAAAAAGAGAAGAGCTGGACATTGAAATTTTACCTCTGGCAATCTGGTGAATGGAATATTTGGGAAGTCATGGTGTTCATTGTGATACCCAACATTCCACATGATGTAGTTGAAGGGTCCATAGTAGGAATAGGTCTCAAAACCTTTATTGAACATGTAATGCTCAGAGATGAAGTGAGCACCCATTGGATGCAGTCCCATGGTCAGCAATGAAGATCCAATCAGGAAAAATAAACACTTCCACCCTGGAACATAAGCTCAATGATTTCTAAACCACAGTTTGATCTTTCAAAAAAAAAACTTGGGGACTAAAGTGCTCATCCAGTACAGATAAAAATGATTTGTGCATGGTACAGTATTATTTGTGTTGTATACATTGAATATCAAATCCTCAATTTACAATATGCAGTAAAGAATCTTGTTACAACAATACCAAAAAAAAATTCCCAGTAAAACAAACTTTTTTCAAATTAATGCCTGGAAGAAATCCTATTTGGGTACATGTGATAAAAATCGCATTACAAACAACTTTCAAAATGCAATCTAACCATATATTTTAAACAAGTGATTTTCCTAACCAAAAAGCATCACTAAAGGCAGGCACAATCTCAAAAGTGCCTGTAAAACTGTGACTTTGACTGCATTGTTCTTGGGACATACATATAAGGTAAAATCACTGAAAAAAATCTCTGAAAATTTACCTGAACATCCTCAGTTTACAAAAATTTTATGGGATAAAAAAAAAGAATTTAGCTTGAAAGGTGTTCAGCCCTTGCTTGGAGTTTGGATTCTTTAGAATTCTTATTGATGCTCAACAACTGTAAGCTTTTTATAACATTTATTCACACTTACAAGTCTGTGCTGAAATTGCTTGGAAAAACTTGGAAGCCTATACAAAGGGTACCAGTGTATACCTGTTATTCATAGTAAATGTTTGTTATTGATATTTGAATTTCTGTTCAAAAATCACAGTTTTTCAAGCCTTGAAAAACATCCAAAAAGGTCACAAAAAGAAGATCTTCAATATCTCCAGGTTCAATTTGAAACAATATGCCTATTCAATCATTTTGAAAATCTCATTATGTCAAATTAGTTGCTAACACAAACTTCTTCTGAAGTCTTCACAAGTTTGTTGTAATAACAAGATTTTACTGTACCACAATTGGAAACTGAATTCTCAAAGTTGATCAGCATGGTGGGGATAATTACCAAATATTTGTACAACCAAGGCATCAAATGCCACAGTGCACAGTACATTAACAGCCTCCACAGCAGTGAAACTTCTTGGGTACACTGCCATTGGTCTGAAGGCATAAAATAAGGGTTGCAGGAAGAGCCATAGGATCTTTGTCCAAGTTCTGTTGAAGAGCCATCCTTCCAAAGCTGTTGGCAAATCAGTGTCCACTCCATCTACACTAAGATACTGGAGTAAAAAATCCAGTGAATTTAGTGTCAGCAATTTTGTTTTAATTTGGTCAAGCAGTTAAATACATACCTTGTGATGCTCTCTGTGATACTTTTTAAAAGATCCAAAAACAGGAACTCCTAGGGGAAGGTTCACAAAGATCCCCAGCATGTTGTTGGCCCAAGGTCTGCTTGCACCAAAAGCCAGGTTGTGAGATATCTCATGAATGGCTGGAAATTATTCAGTGATGAGAGACTCATCCAAATTAATTCTGTGGAATGCCTCACCTAGTGTAAAAGAATGGTTTATGACACCATTGAAACAATATGCCATAAGAAATAAAGGTAGGCCAGTGAGGTCCTTCACAATCCACAGTGAGGACATTTGGACCAGCCAGGCCACTAGGATCATCCATTTTGTCCTTGTGTCATACCCAAACAGGGTCTTTATTTCAGGGTGCACCTCTGTGATGAAAATAAGCATTGTCCTTTTTATTCTAAGTGTTCCTTGATTTTATTGACTGCTGTGCTGCAACTTTAGCTTGAGGAAAAAGGCCTAAATTTAATGCAAATGTCATCTGGTAAAATATTTCCAGCTGGAACAAACTGTACAGAGAGGAACAATCGGATCTGTTTCATCTCTAAAATTCATGAAAGTTTTATATCCTTGATTTATCCATGCATCAGGAATTTTGATTGGCAGGCAAAAACTCAAATCTAAAAATGTTACTTACTGAGAATATCCTTCTGTCTCTTCAAATGGTAAAGAGGGTCCTCTGACCAGTGAAAGTCAGTCCTGGTAACCTTCTGTCCCATGATGTCAAAACTATCTTATTTGTGCAATGAAGATACCAAGCATACAGAGACTGACACTTTCTTGTAGAAGAAAAAAACGAAGAAGAATCTTCTCAGTAGAGGTGTTGAGAAGTCTGTGCTGTATAGAACCTGGGAACCCCCTTTTGTCTGCAAAGTGTATAAACATGTTTTTATGATTGAGAATAAAGAAAACATTTAAAAAATATGAACACATTTTGTCTGACAAGAATCAGAGTATTTTTGCAGGTTTGTGTAGTTCAGTATTGAGGTAAGATATTATATACAGATTTAAACAGGGAATAGGAAGAAACTTCATCCACTCTGAAATTGGAAGAATTCCAGGAAGTGTATACTGCATGAAGTGAATTTTAGCAAACCTTTCTTTCAATTGAGCACAATAAAAAATAAAAAGATATTTTAATTCAAACTCTTTTCTCAAAGACATAATTTGTTCCCTTTTATCATAGCAAGTAATAAACAGCAGTTCAGCACATAGCACATCAATCAACAGGGAAGAAAAGCACAGTAAAGTGTGCAAAGCTTATTTTCCAAACAAAAAACCAATTTTTTTTTTCCTACAACATCTGAACTGCATGCACACCATCAGCAATCACTAAATACTAACTTTTTTGACAATCTGAGCAGAAAAAAACAAAGGTACTTCACTGACTGATGGCTGCCATGAAATTGTAATCCAACTTACACTTTTAAAACTCCCTAGTATTTAAGCAGAGAAAAATGTAAAAAAGATTTAGTCAGGCTCGAATGGAAGATAGAATGTTTGGAAAGACCAAGAATGTCAGATCTTATTGTTTGATTCAACAAAGAGTGACTTTTCATTAGAAAACAACATGTGATGTGCTGGTTCCCAGCATGGACCATGATTGTTGAATTTTGATATCCATGAAACTCTGCCTGTTTTTTATCAACAAAAAATCGGGGAGTATGAATGAAAAGCCACCATCCCTGATTTAAAACAATTTCTTCAAGTTTCACAATGTCTGACCTCAAAAAATGTTGAACTTTTCTCTTTCCCATCATTTCCCTCTTTTTTTGTATCAGGTATAATTAATATTCATGGAACAAGGGTTGTTCCAGAGCATATTAAAACTACATGAGATCATGGTTCCATTCAACCAGATATGATCTTATTTTGCTTCAAAATGAAAACCAGGAATTGTTGGGAAAAACATAAATATTCATGCAGCACCAGAGTTTCACAATACCTAAATCATAATTATGCAACCATGAAATACAAGTGGCCCCCTGCCTAAGAGACCTCCCGTGTAAGGGATTTTTGCAAAACAGACCAGCTCTGCAAGCAGTTTTTCCTCCCGCCCAACAGACAAAATCCACCAAACAGACTTCTTTTGGTTTAAAATTAGTGTTGAAGATTGAAATTTTTCATTTTTTATGTAATNTTTATGTAATTGAATTCATGTAAAGGACTTTTTGTCCAACAGACTTGTCCCTTGCACGAATCAAGTCCGTTAGACAGGGGTTGACTGTAAATGAGTTTGAGTAAACTTACTCCAACACACAAATTATTTGCTGGGTATAAATTTTAGAAATTCATGTTGGCTACTTCCTTATCACATAGAAAGGTTTCAAAAGCTTCCTCATAACATATTATTTCAACTTCCAGACCTACTTACATTTGAATTTTACTGCATAAACTTTGAAAAGTAACACTAAAAACTTAAAAATTCCCATAGATCTTTCTTCATGAACTCTAAAGATGATTCCCTAAACTTTGTGGCATTGAGATCAATGCATGCATTTTTGCAATCTTGTTATTCAGTTTTTCCCATCATACTCATGCTTCATTATTATTATGACTGCATTGTGTTTTTGTGGAGAATAAATCTATGCTGAAAACATTGCAATCAGACAAAAGTAAATTTTAAAATTTTTTCGAACCAAATAATGATTTTTTGAATTGAATTTATAATAACTGTGGCAGATCCATCGTTACATAACACATAAAACATGGTCACAAAAGAGTTCTCTTGATCACAGATCACTGTCTTGGAATGCATTGCACCACTCTTTTCCACCCGAATTTTATATAAGTCCAGCAAAAAATCATGTCAAATCAAATTTCGTCACATGCTGACAGAAAAACGTATGACCAAGAATGACGACTGGAATGACAAGCACTAAAAAGAGAATAACACTAAACTCACGGTTACCAGCACTTTTTTCCATGCCTGGCTGCCCTTCGTTTTTTTTTTTCCTCCTTCTACGCATTGATCGATCCGTAATATTAAATGATTGTCGACAGGAGCACACTGGGAAAAGGACAACACGGGATTGGTGTATCATATATGCATGTAAGAGGGGATGGTTTTGTGGGGGTTCTGCTGCCCCTGGCAACCCCATACATAGGAATCATTTGGTACTATAGAACAAAATGCCTTGAGCAGAACTACCACCATTTTTCCCTGACTCTCGTTAAGGACCAAAATTTTAACCTGCTACATGTGGAATCCTATGAACACTGAAGGTATGGTATCTAATCTCACCTTCCCTACTGTTTGCAGAACATAAACAAATTCCTTACACCAGCAGTACATACTCAGAAGATAAGCTCTGTTTGGGACCCCTGAAAGAAATAGTGTGTCATGTCGAAAAGTATTCCATGTTTTTCTCGGTACTGAAAGTTCTTATTTGATTTTTCAAATAAAGAACCATGTAGACCAAGTAGTTTGTACTGGATTCTTTGCAAGTTGCAGGATGAAACTCACAAGCTCTATGATATTGATGCTTTTAGAGCCCGGGCGGACGTTCTCACCAACTGCAACATGGAGTCTCCACTGGCAAGATCCTCTACGCCGCTGTGACACGATGTTATGGTACAACTTTCACTCAAAGCTGCTTTATTAAGGGCTACTTCTTCCACGCCATCCGTAGCAGCGCCAGTTACTCCCAGAGTCATCAGTGACTTCCATTGAGTGACTTCATCTGCAATGGTTTTTGGAAAAAAAACACTAGGGAGAATCTGCTGGATGAATAACAGTGCACATATAAAAACCCCCTTTAAAATAAATAAAATGTATTATCCAGGGAAACTCTGATGGACAAAAAACAGCATAAATATAAAAACCACATTTTCAAAATTTTCTCTGAGCATTAATTCTTTGAATGTGATGCACCACTCCAAAGGCACAATGCTATAGTAATAAATGTGAATGCATGAATTTTTTGGTTGAATCTGTATATTAATTAGAGCACGTTATTTGTGCATTTAAATGCAATCAATAGTTAAAAATTTAAAACGCACGGGTATTTCACTCTGTTTGTTTAAATTTCCAATTGTTTTTTTACATTTGAATGCATGAATGACTTGGTTTCCAATGCAGAATCAGCAGAACTTTCAAGTCGTGCATCCAAATTTATTACTATGGTTAGCATTGTGACTTTGGAGTGGTGTCACATTGAAGGAATCAATTCTCAGATTTGAAAAATTCTTTTCTGGCCATGTTAGGAAGTTAATCTTGCACAAATCAGCAGCAGTGATGGCATACTTTTGAATGTGTTCAACAATTTTGGGAAACTAAGTACACAGGTACTGTAGAAAAAAAATTACATTTTCAACTTGAAGAGCAAACCCTTTATTGGGAAGGTAACCACTAATTCCTACTCATGAAATAACAAGCATGAAACATTAAGGATGCTGTTAGCTCATTATTGAATTGTGCAGAATGTTATCTTCCCACAACATTCTACAACATTAAATTCCCAGGTGCAAGCATGCACAGTTTATAAAGTCACTCATTCGTGGTATTGAGGTTCCCTATAGAAGGGAATAGTCTTCTAGAATGCAGCTCGGAAGGGAGTGGCGTTGAAACGGCATGTGTATAATGTCTGGGAACCTGGACGCACAGGCGGCCATTTCAACCATCAGCTTGGATTATCAGTTCTACGAGGTTGTATTCTTAATGTGTATGCGTCGGAACCTGTGGACATGAGGAAATGTGTATGGATTTTCCGTATGGAATACGGTAGTGATCCGAAATTTAGAAGATGATTGAGTTGTGATTGCCCTCTCTGTATCCTTAAGCTGACCGGTCCTCACTTGTGCGGTTCGGTTAACTTTTGGGGTGTGGAAGTTGTGGGAAGATCCGAGGGTATTGTTTTTATCATTAGTTTCGTAAGACCAAGACGGGATGTAGTGCGAAATTCACCCCGTGATCGTGCCCTTTCCCGAAGGAGGGACTTTGTATACCAACCAATTAAAAAAAAGCGCCTGTAATTCATTGCTCAAGTTTTTAGGCTGGAGAATATTTCCCGCTGACTGGCAAAAAACTTCTGCCAATTCATGCACAAGAAATTCAGGCATGGAATAAGTACAATGCTCCTTTTGATTGGTTTGACATCTTAATTGAAGAACCTATATATCCATGATACATTTCGTAATTGCTCTGCCATATCAAGGATGAATTGTGCCTCCGAAATTGAGATAAACACAGTGATACATGTGTGCTTCAGCACAGGTCCAATCCCTGCTGATGTACAAGCACTATATAACTCCAGAAATGCATTTAAATTCATTCCTGAAATAAGTTAAGGTGTTGTGCACTTTTAATCTGAAATATTTGATTTACTACAGTATACAGTATTTCCAATGAAATGAAAAATACAGTTTCATGATTGAAATTGCTTAAAACCGTACTTAAATTAAGTCTGAAGACTTGATATATTTCATAGAATCATTATACCTCTCTGTCCTTTATTATTATCAAAACCTGAAGAACACATGGAAACTCTCTGAAGCATTTTGAGCATGCAATGATGATCTAAGGTATAAACAAAATTAGTGCTGTGAATGAAAGATTGAAAATATATAGTACAGTACTTCAAATTTGCATGCTAATATGGGATGTTTCAGAGAAAATTCATGAATTTCACTGTCAACAATATTTTATAATTGCTGTAAATATGTCAAGTATATGTACTCCATTCACCATGATGTCAACCCATAATAAATTGTGCATTGTTCATTTATTTCTTGAAAATCCAGCCTTCAAATTTGTCATTTTGTTAATTGTAGTGTTCAACAAACACCTACATTAATGCCTTGATGGGAATTCCCCTAGAATATCTGTACAGAATTCAGGAGACTGTGCATGCTGATGCCTGCTGTATGGATGCATATGAATGCCCACATTTACTTCGAATGCCCCTCAGAATGTGCTCTTGGATGGGTCTGACCCTTACTCTTGTGAAGTGCTGCTGTTCAGGGTTTTGGGGGCATCGCTATGAACAGGGTAGTTGATGTACTTATAACCTCATGCTTATGAACGCAGAAATTGTGAATGCTCAAATGTTTGCTGGTTGAACTCTCTTTCATTGGTTTGAACAATAACATACTGTTTTTGTTATAAAATCATGTAGATGTCACTCCACACCAAACCCTTTCAGCAGAAGAGGGGTTATGGTGGGCAGTACTGTACATGCACTTGCATTATTGAACTGTAAGTCAAGCAGTGAGTAGGCATTAATCAAGTTATACTGCAGTGAGTTAAGAACTTGATCAGATGGCTTTTATAGTTGTTAAGGAAGTAGAAAAACAATTTTATTTGTACAAAATGACAAAATATTATTGGAAATTCCTGTTTATGAGTACCATACTGAATTGCATTTTTTAATCCCAACATCAATAAATTTGGAAATTGGCATGTTTTTTGCTGTTTAAGTCACTGACAGATTTGATATTCCAAATTTGTTCTCATGGTCTGTTTCACATTATTTGTAGTAATAAATTGGTAAACAGACTTTGAAAAAATTAATTGAAATTTTTATTCACATAATTTGCGCAATGTTATTCAAATATTCACAATTTTTCATTACATTGAAAATTGTGTTTTTTATGTTTACGCTGTTATTTTTCCATTAAAGTTTGCCTAGATAATGTATTTTTTTTCTTCTAGAAACAGTTTTGATACATGCACTGTTATTTGTCCCTTGGAGTCTCCCTAGAATGCCTAGATGTTACAGCAAAAGCCATTGCAGTTGAAGTCACTCAAGGAGAGTCACAGGGAGAGACTGGTGCTCCTAGGGGTGGTGTGGAAGAGGTAGCCCTGAATGGAGTGGTGTTGAGTGGAAGTTGTGCTGTACCACAATGTTGTGTGGTGGTTGAACATGCATGTGTAGGATAATTTTGTGCTATTCTTGTGAAAATTGATGCATTTTTCATTGTGAAACTTTGTAGTGTGGAGAATTTCGAAGGCTAATGCTCTTTCGTTTGTTCGAGCTTTGGACGCTCTACATTGCTTCGATTATCAGAAAAATTCCCGTGATAAATATTCTGATTTATTTGAACCGTCGAGAAAAGAAGTGAATTTTGAATTTCGTGTGATGATGAAGCAGTCACTGGTTTTGTTTGTGACTGAAAATGTATGTTGCAGTTGTGAATCAGGCGAGAAAGCATGTCCTACGCACCTAACTTGGATACGGCGTTCAGTGTTTTCAAGTTCTGTTCGATCGCCGAACTGAATGACTACATGAATAATGAAAGTAAACTCGACGAGGTCATCCGTGATCTACCTCAGGCAAGTTTTTCTAGAGTTAACCGAATATATTTGGCACGACCGCAGAATCCTTCACCTCGATTCTTCAAGCAGATGAAAGGATGGCAAGACGAGAAAGCCATGTTGCTGGCGACAAACAAATCCCTGGCAGAGAAAAATTGTAAACATGAGCCAAGGTTGAACGAGTTGAAGAAGGAGCTCGAAATCAAGAGCATTTCCGCACAGGCAATGCTGATTGAACTTTCGGAGAAACAGTTCGTCATTGGTGAGCATCGATGAGAACAGAAAAATTCGTGAAATCTGAATGGAAGGATTACTGCTGCTTTCAGAACGTGCTGGAGGCGTAAAGTCACCTGATGCGATCCTGGACTTGCTTCAGTCCGAGTACTCGTCGCTGGAAGAAAGCAGTGAAGTGAGCTCATCTTTTTCATGAGGCACGCGAATGAGACAATTTCATCCGTGATTACTTGCTCAATAGGATTTGGCGCAGAGATTCCTCAGCTCAGATTACACCCCGGAAGCCTTCCTCGATGAGTATCTGAAACTACGGCGTCAAGTGCACTCGAAACGCGTCAAAGTGGACAAGTTGAAAGAACTGATGAGGAACCGACGTGTGAGCACGGGCTCCTTGTCATCGCTGAATCCGTTACCTGTTCGAGCTGCACCTCCTCCACCTCAACCCGGTTACCCACCGTATCCACTGCCGAGTTATCGTCCATGAAACAGAGCTCTTCGAAGGCCGTGCAATGAGTTATTTTTTCTATGGAGGCCTGGAGGAGATCAAAGATGCTGCGCTGAAATGCCATGTGTAGATAACCCAGATATCGTGCATCGTTTTATTTTTTCCGGGATGTGAATACATGAGTGCTGCGAGTGTTTCATTATCCGTACAGCATCTTTCTCTTCTCGTGCTCAATCTAATCCTGTCACTATCCTGCAGAATGAGTGGCGATTCTAGTTGAGTGATTCCTTCTCACGAAAATGTCTCCTGCGATCGGAGCCGCGAGCTTCAAGATGAAGAAGAAACACATTCGCGTGAAGCACCAGAAACGGAAGCTGTTCCGTGCCAACGAACCGCTTCTCTCAGTGTTCATGTGGGGCGTGAACCACTCAGTGAGTCCGGTGTTGAAAAATTCGAGAATTTTCTCATATTTCAACGAGTGTTACTTTGTTTCTTGAAAGATCAACGAGTTGAGCCACGTGAACATACCCGTCATGTTGATGCCGGACGACTTCAAGGCTTACGCGAAGATCAAAGTCGATAATCATTTGTTCAACAAGTGAGTTTTGTGAGTTCGAGTTTCCGTGGTTGGATACGAGAAACGTTTCTGTTTTTCGAAATAAGGGAAAACATGCCGAGCCATTTCAAGGTGAAGGAATATTGTCCTCTTGTGTTTCGGAATTTGCGGGAACGTTTCGGCATGGATGACGTCGACTATCGGGAGAGTTTGACTGTGTGTCAGCCAGTGGCAGTGGATTCCCCGGGTCGATCAGGGGCCAAATTCTACTTGAGTCACGACCAGTTGTTCGTCATCAAAACGCTAACGACAGAGGAAGTGGAGCAGATGCACGTTCTCCTCAAGCCTTATCATCAAGTGCGTTTCTTTGGTTACTTTCTCTCGAGTGAGTAACAAGGAAGGGTTTTCGTGTGTGTGTTATTCAGTACGTGGTGGAACGACACGGAAAGACGTTGTTGCCGCAGTACATGGGGATGTACAGACTCACTGTGGAGAGTATCGAGCATTACATGGTCGTTATGCGGAACGTGTTCAGCGCCAATTTCAAGATTCACACGTGAGTTTTACAAAATTCGAGTTGGGGAAGCATTTTCTGTTCAAGGGAAGGAAGAAATGCCGGAAATTCTGTCTATGAAGTAAATAGCCAAAATGCTCCAGGAAATTCAAATTCTTTTTGATGCAACTCTCCCAAGATAATTTCCGACAGGGGCTTTAAAATAATTCGATATACGGAGGTTTGAGTTACTTTTTTCAGGAAATACGACTTGAAAGGGTCAACGGTGGACCGAGAGGCAAGTGAGAAGGAAAAAGGGAAGGACTTGCCAACTTTGAAGGACAACGACTTCGTTAAAGACGGTGTGAAAATTCTCATCGGGCCTGATGCTAAGGACAAATTGTTGGAAACGCTGAATGCGGACACTGCAGTGCGTTAATATTTTCTTGAACTCTGAAAACGTGTGCAAAAATTTGCGTATTTTTTCAAATAACATTTTGCGTAGTTCCTCACCAAAGTGCACGTGATGGACTATTCGCTGCTTTTGGGGATCCATGATTGTGAGCGCGCTGAACAAGAAGATCGAGAGGACATGGAACGGCAAGCGCTCGAAGGTTTGTTCTGTTTCCTCATTCCTGGAAGTTTTTGTCTGATATCGTGATAATTTGAATCGATTTGTTTTTTTTTTAGGTGATGATGAGGGTGAAGAAAGCAGTGGATCTGGTGGAGCTGGTCCCAGATCCATTGGTGGTGGAGATGCTAATCCCGTGCCAACACCACCTGACAGTCCGCTGAACTTCACTCGCCCTCGGGCTCTTTCGAATGGGCAAATCGACCCGCAAACTGATCTCTATGCAATTCCCAGTGTTGAAGGTGTGTGTTCCAAATTCCAAGGCATTATTCATCAGTGAATGATTTGCTAATTTAGTGTGCACCCTTGATTATTGACCTTGAGTGGTTGGTACTTTCCTGTTATCTCTGTACCTCATTCCTAGACTGCACTACCATCCAGACAAATCTTCAGGACAAGTTCATAATCACAACAACCTGCCAGAAACTGTGAATTTTATTTTTCCGCGTTCTGCTCAAACCAATTTTGGGAGGCGATTAGGTGAAGTTAGGTTAGGTCAGGTTATATTAGTTACAAATATATTTTAACTAACATAACCTGACCTAACCTAACTTTACCTAACTGCGTCCCAAAATCAGTTTCAGCAGAAACCCAAAGAAAGCAGAAACTGATTTTGGGAGGTGGTTAGGTGAAGTTAGGTTAAGTCAGGTTAAATTGGTCAGAGGGAAGGTACAGAGATAACAGGAAAGTACTGAGTGGTTCCAGACAAAAGTTTTTTGACCAAACTTCATTTTCACATGCACTTCAAGAATGAAACCCTGAGCGCTCAAAATGCAATTCAAAATTGAACAAAAATAATCCATGGCGAATTTCTAGTCAGGATGACTTACTGTAGCATACTGTGTATGTTCACCATGTTTTTAAGAGTTGGATAAAATTATGACTAATGAAAACAACCCGAAAAAAAGCTTCATGTGAAAATTCTGAGTATGAGTTGAATAACTGTCACCAGATAATGAAATATTAATCTTACAATGCTACAAAACCAAAGGAAGAATTCAACAGTTGGAGCAACTGGAAGAATCTTTCTGGAAATGCTTTTGTTCACTGCTGGATAACATTTGTTCAAGTGATTCTGCACAAATGCCATCATACAGTCACTCAATTTTGAACAGCTGTAGAAAATTTTTGTGAGCATGTGGTGTTGAAAAATTTTTGGAATTACATCTTACCTTCTACAGTCAAATGGCATGACCAAATTAGGAGTTTTTGCGCGGGTAACAAAAGTTTGTTGACCAAATTTTGTTTTCTTAACTGAGGGATTTTTCTTTGGGGGCTGTGGTTTGTCAACCAAATTTTGGGTTTTTAATGGAGTGATTTATCTTTGATGAGCATGAAACTATAAGAGTTTCTGCTGTCATATTGTTGCAGGTGGAGAGCCGGAATACATTTATTTCATGGCTATCATCGACGTTCTCACTCACTACGGTGTGAAAAAGCAGGCTGCAAAAGCTGCCAAAACTGTGAAATATGGCGAAAAAGCGGAAGGAATCTCGACGGTAGAACCCGAGCAGTACGCCAAGCGGTTCATCGACTTCTTGTCAAAAGCCATTGAGTGAAAGCAGTCATTTCTAGTTTTGTGTGTGTCTCTGTCCACACACGCAGTGTTTAATTTATTTCATGCAATCAGTGTTTCCAATTCGATTTTGTTTATTTTTCCTCCAAGCTGGCTGTGAAAGGACGTTGCTTTGTTCTGGCTTTTTTTTTGTTCTTAGTTTTGAGGGCAAGGTGCAAGAAACTTTAGAGCGCGAGCAAGGCTAATCTTTGAAGGCATTCTGCTGGGATGAAAGGGAATTTTATGTTGGTTGGCCGAGAGAGAGAGAGAGAAAGCGATCCTAAACTTTTTTGTTCTCTCTCTTTTGGTTCGTTTCCTGAACGAAAAAAAATGCTGATCTTACTTGTGGAATTGTGATAGTTTATAGTGGCTTATTATGCTTTCCAGTTAATCGGCCTATTGAACGAAAGAATCTTGATTCAGCGAGGATTCTATCAGCCGGAATGTTTGCTTGCTTAGTCGCTGGCAGTGTTATCCACACGTTGTTTTTTTCGGCAAATTTGGATCAAGTTTACTGAGCTGTGTACTGATATTGTTTTTGTTTTGTTTTTTGAACACGAGAAATTGGTCTGAGGTAGGCATTAATTTTCGGGATCTGGAAAAGAGAATAATGATGAGAGGAGAAAAGGTTGTTTGTGTTGCATTTGCGCTAAAAAAACAAAATTCCGGTCCATCTTTTTTTTGGAATGGTTACCTGAATCGTATGCACATGATCAACAGCAAGTCATCCGTGTTTTAGAGGAACTCAAGTCGGTGTGTTTGTGTGTGTGTGCTTTTTTTTTTGGTTCCCTTTAGAATCTCTGGTGGCAAACTTTGGATTTGCTTTCGTGCTGCAATTGTACCAATATAACCGCGTCGGTTCCACTGTTTGATTTTTCTATGCTTGTGGAGTGGTTCGTTTTTTTGAAGAAATGTCTTTTGTATTTTCAGGGTGTTGATGTTATGTCGTGAGATCTCAAAACCTGAGTTAGTGTGTGTGTGAATGAAGCCGAAAAACGGGTGATGATGTTGCGCTTCCTGTTTGTGGTGTTGCAGCTTCTAGCTGCCTCTGGTGAGTGATATTTTTTGTGCGGAAAACAAACATTAAGAACCATCTATATGCTGCAAGAAACACCCCCAGGCATTTATTTGAAGAGCAGTGGAACTTTGTTACAACAGACTTTTAATTATAACAAACCAGTTTCTCAAGCTCTGGCGGAAAGTCCGAAGGATGTATGTTGAAACATGTCTTTTTATGACTTAATTTCCGAATTTTGGCAAAATAAATATTTTTGGGAAAGGTTTGATGGATTTTCCAAGTAAGAAATATTCTGTCCTCTGAAATTTTCTGATTGCAAATGTGAATGGCTTTGTTTATTCAGAAGATTCCTCAATTTTTCAAGCAATAATGAAAAAAAATCTAAGAATGCCAGAAAAACCTGATTGAATTCACAGTAGACAGGTCTGATGTTAAACATTTTCTGAGTAATTTTTTTAAATCTATAATTATTCAGTATAACAAACTTTTTCTGAAATCCCCCGAAGTTTTTGTGACAAAATTTTATTGTATTTGATTTTCCCCCTGTGTTTAAGAGAGATCAGCATCCATTTGGGACTGGCAATTAATTCCCTGAATTGCATCTGTGGAACACAAGAAAAATAAAAACTGTAAAACATCCTGGGGAAAATTGTAAAAATTATTTGATTCATCAGTGATTTTTGTAAATGAGACAGGAATGCACAAGGAAAGGCTAAAGGTGAAGATTTTCTGTTTAGTGTTCAAGACTGTGGAAAGGATTGAGTGATTATCTGAGACTGGCATTTATGGTATTCATTCAAAGAAGAATTTGTTGATTTACTGTATTTATTTTTGTAGGAGCTGTGAACATCACAAAATTGAGCGTGGAACCAGGAACGTCAGTGTTGGTCAATCAAGAGGTCAGATTTATCTGCGAAGCAGGTGGTGACACCTTACCCCAAGTCTGGTGGACCAAGGACGGCAAAAACTTGACCAATTTCGAAAACGCAACAACCGAGCTTCGCCTCGTGGCTGTTTCACTACCTGACTCGGGCAATTACTCTTGCCACGCCTTCAGCAAAGACAGTAGTAACCAAAGTGCTGCTGTTGTTGTTGAAACAGTGCAACTCGACGTAGAAAGTGAACCATTGACAAGCGAAACAGTTGGGGATAAGGTGAAGGAAGGCGGAGAAGCCATTTTGCAGTGTTCTTTCGTTGCGAGTCCGGAAATTAGCGTGGATTGGACAAAAAATGGGGTTCCTGTCATTACCAATGATGATGATGAAAGGTACATTTTTTTTTTTCATTGAAGAAATGTTGTTGTTGCGATTGTTTTACATATTTTTATGTGTGCAGAGTTTCAGCGAATGTCTCGGTTCCTGTGGACTTTGGTCAAGTTGCTACTCTCAGCGTTAAAAACGCAACAAAGGCGGATAATGGAACTTACGAGTGCGTGGGAATTAACGAAAGAGGCAGAAGCACGTCTTCGTCTGTCGACCTCATTGTGTCCTGTGAGTCGGATTTCAGAAAGAAAAAAAAATATTTAGTTGGCAAAGAAAAATAGTAATCTGAGATATTCATGTTTTCAAATGAGTTGAAACAATGCCAAAGGTTCATTTGCCCATTTTCTCTTTCCTGTGTCAATAAAATGCAGTGGATCCTTTGATAAAAACTTGAGTTCAGTTAACACACTTTTTTCTGTGGAAAATTCAAATTTTTGTAATCTAAAATTGATGTTGAACTGGAAGTTATGAGAAAATGTCAAGTGCAAATAATTTACCTATGCCTTGACATGAAAAATTCTTTTGTTTTAAAATTTGTGCCAGCTACATTATTCATACATGCTTCTCTGTGACAGAATGATTTACTTTTCTGTGCTGGTTTTTCCAGTTTTTTGATTGTTAGAAAGGTCTACTCATCTTAACTTGCAGCATTGAAAAAAAGTAATCATTCATTTTCACCTGATATGTATCCTATGGTGTGTTTTTCTTTGAATGAGAAGCTTTCTTATCTTTGTTTTTGTCAGTTCTAGTTCCATGAAAAACTGTAAAAAAACATTCGGGGCACATGGAAGATGCTGCAAAAACTTATTATAATTATAGTTGATAATCTTGAATTTTTTATATTTAATGTTCAATTGTCTTTTGGGTTCACAGAATGGATTATGTTCTTTCCCATCAAAATCTGAGGGAAAATTGTTGAATTTTGTTGAACTTTTGTCTGTAACCAAACAAGTTTGGTAACTGAGAGTCCACTGTCTTAGACAACAGGACCACCCAGAAAGTTTGAGTTATTAAGGCTTGCTAGGGAAAAATATTTTGAGTCAGGCAGTTCAGGGGAGCGTTATTGAGGTTGGAAAGATGATGGAATTTTTTCTATGTTCCACAGACCCACCAATTATCACCATCCACACAGTTAAAGGCATCAGACCTGATCAGATCTTCATCAATTGGACACTGGATGCCGGGAATTCAATCATGAAGAAAATTTATTAGTTCCACCTTATATTTAAGCGCAAAGTCATACTGAACTACATAATGACATGGAAAGACTTAAAAAGTCACCTTTGGTCTTCCTCTACCAAGAACCTTACTGCTCTTCTCATAGTTTCCTAACGAAACCTTTCTACAACACCTACCTGAAAACCGCTTATTCTTTATGCACAAAGTCGAACGACGTCTCTTGTCGCAACCGTACCCCGGCACCAGACTTCAAAGACTACGGAAACGGTGCGGATGAAGACCACTCTGAAAGTGGAATATATGCATTGGTTGAGAATGTGGTGAAATCTCACTACAACAAATACTGTTGAAACACATTTTTCAGCAGAACTAACTTCTTCACTGGTACTGGCATTCAGCCTATGAAGCAGTGTATTCTTATTCTTACCTGTGGTCCACAGAAGTTTTTTGCTTGTCTATGGGAAATTTCTGCAGCCTAGTAGATTTATGAAAAGTAGCAATGAAATCTGTCATCTTCATCTGAAATTTTTGAAAGACAATTGCAGTTGAAATTAGCTGATGGAGAATGAAAGTTTTCTTTTCTATTAATGATGCTTCAGACAAATTTTCATCTGCTGAAATATATTATTTTGATTTTATCATTCTGAGAAACCTTTTGTCAAGCCCACCTTTCTAATTTCTTGACAACATTCTGCTAAAGCTGCTTCATTGGTTCCTGATTGTTGTAAAACTCATTGTCCAATTTCGGAAGTTGGTACCTGCCCTGACATCTTTCAAGCAACTTTTTTAATTTCTAAAACTTCATGCTGGTCCACAGAAAATTTTCAGGAAATTTGCTGGTCTAACAAAAATTTTAGGGACTTACAAAAGTTTGTAGAACACTGCCATTAAGTATATGTTGAAACAATCGAATTACAATATAACAAAAGTCTTCATTCCAGTGTAACAAACCTTTTTGAGGAATGTTCAATACATTTTCCGGGAAGAAATTTTCTCAGTAAAGCAGACGAAGTCTGAAATTTCTGATCCCAAAGATGGCTGAATGGTTCTTGAATCATTCATGAAAACCAATCAATGACAAATACGCTTTCCAAGTGGTTTACTTGTTCCACACACTATTTTCCTGGAATGAAGAGATTGGTGCAACTGATGGAATTCATGATTGAAGCTAATTTTTTTATGCCAAAGATTATTCAGTTTTTCAAACAATAATGAGAATGCCAGTAAAATATGATCCAATTAATTTTTCTCCAATCTGTGGTCTGCAGGTTGGCAGAAGTTTTCTTCCAGGTTTCTGTGCATTTTCTTCAGCCTAATGATCTTAACAAAAGTAGCAATGAAGTCTCTTGTCTTCATCTGAAATTCCAGAGATGCAATTGCATTTGAAATTATCTGTTGAAAAAGAAAAGATGGCTTTTCTCTCGACAGTTCAGAAATAGTTTCATCTGATGACATGAATGATCATATATTTTCATCTGAGAAACTTCTCTATAAGCCCACCTTTCTAATCTTTTGAAATCATCCCACTACAGCTGCTTCATTTGTTCTTAACCTAATTTTTGTGGGAAATGCAAAAACTGTTGCCATGTCTATTTTAAAGTTTCACAAGAAACTTGAGTCTGCCAAATTTTTGAAACGGTGGCAATGTGCAGACTTTTTTTTGTCATTAAAAAAAAAGTAAATGATTTTGTTGTCCTGCAGGCCCAGAAAGTTTGGGGAACGCTGATCCAATTGATTATAGACAGGTGTGATGTGAAAATCTTTTTCCAGTCACTAATTTTGAAAAATCTTGTTATAACAATCTTTTTCTGAATTCCCCAAACAATTCGTTTTAACGAGATGTCTCTCATGATTCCTTGGTCAATTCCAGATCCTTTCGGGAAGTACAAACCCGTGATGACTCTGTCTGGAGCCAGCAAGGTTTCAGTGACTCTCAAAATAGATCCGCCTCCCAAGGACGTGATGGAATTCATTGGGGCAATAGCAGACTTGTACTAGTCACACCTACTGTTCTGAGCGCACTACCTCTTTTTGTAATCCTAACTGCTTCACAGGGAGTTTACCAGACATTGCAACTTACTTGAGTACGGACCCTGTCGAATGCTCATCGTCGCACGAGCTGTTCATGGGTTTTCGGGGTTGGCTGGGAATGCTTCCAAGGGCGTCATCGGAGCTACTTTGGATGCTCGTGAGAAAAAAATATTTTTAATTTTTTAAAGCCTGCGATTGTGGAGTAATTTTTATGATTTTTTTTCAGCACCGAGTCAGCCGCAGAATGTCGCGGTGGAATGCTTCGCAGACCCGGAGTTTCCGGTTTTGCGGGTTCGCTGGGACCCACCGAAGGAAGTTGGGGGTAAAATAGTCAAATATAAGGTTCGTGAATTTGACGAAAGTGCGCCAAGTTCTGAGTGTTGAATTTCTTTTTTTTTTTTCGTTCCTTGCAGATGAAGGTTGTGATGTCAGCAATCTATGATGATGAAGAAGGGTACAATCAGCACACTGTTGATGACTTGGAAGTGCAGACGATGGGGAATGAAACTAGGCAAACTGTTCTGGGCACTCCGAATACCAACTATTCTATTACTGTGAGTTGGCAATATATACCGCGTCGAAATGCATTGCAGAGTAATTCGAATTTTTGTGAAGTTCCGGTCTGAAGTATCTTGGAAACAAATGTAAGAAAAATCTTCACAAGTCATTTATATTTTCGGGGGGCATTTTGGCTATTATTTGTTTTGACCCAAAGAAATGAAAGCCATAAAAATGTATCTCGATTTGTTTTGAAAGCAAGTGGAAGAATAATTTATCAAATGAATCCTTGCCTGCAAGTTCAGCATCCTCTTGATTTCTAAACAAAGCAGTTTTGGTCCAGGATATATAAATTTCCATTTCCTCATTTTTTGGAATGCAGAAATGGTATTCTAAAGTTCTATTTTTTTGCTGATCCCTTGGAAATTGACTTGGAGAGATTCAACTGTGAAAAAGGATTTAAATCAATGGTGGGGGATTTTTAAAAATAACAGAAGGTTCCACTTGTGTTCCTGTAGTGCAGTAAAATCTTGTTTCAACTTATTTTTGGGTGCTTCTGAGAGAGTTTGTTCTACTGGAAAATTTGATTAGTTCCAGAATGAATGAATGAATGGAACATATGTTTTAATTCAGACCTGCCTGAAATCAATTGGATCTTTTTTCTGGGATCCTCAGATTTTTTATTGTTTGATAAAAAATTTTTAAATTTGAAAAAAATTAGCTTTAATCATGCATTCCATCAGTTGCACAAATCTTTTGATTCTGGTAAGATGATGTGTGGAACTTTATGGAAAGTATGTTTGTCATTGATTAGAGATTTCATCAATGCTTCAAGAACCAGTCAGTCACATTTTTTAGTCAGAAATTTCAGACTGTGTCTGCATTGGTCAGGAAATTTCTACCTGGAGAATCCTTTAAACATTCCTCACAAAAACTTTTTTGCATTGGAATTGTGAATTTCTCTATAACGAGATTGTTTTCAACCTATACCCTTTGTTTTTTTTTTGTTTGCTGGAATTTTACAAAAAGTTTGTTCTTCTGAAAAATTTGTTGTAATAAAATGTTACCAAATGTCTTCTTTCCGTGTTCAAGGTGACGGCTTTGACTCAAGCTGGTCCAGGTGAATGGAGTCACCGAAGCAAAGAATCGCAGTGTTTCATGCAACCAGGCTTGCCATCTTTCATCCCGGCGTCAAAATGGCGGCCTTTTTCAGAGTCCGGTGAACGCAGAATTTTCATGCTCATGCCAAGGAGAGTTTCTCAAAGAAACGGACCAATTTGTTGCTATAGGTAAAACAAAAATGAAACATAATATCCTTTGTCAGCTATGTTTGCAAATTTTAAACCTCGTAGAGTCGTCTTGGTGCGATTTCCGGGAAAAGTTGGGAAAGACGCGTTTCCTGATCCAGAAAATGTCACTTTGAGGACGTATGAAGAAGCGCATGAGGTTGAGAACAATACTTATGGTGCTTACGTGGCTGAAATGTTTGGACCGTGAGTTCTGCAATTTTTGAAAAGATTTTCTAATTTATTTAGGCCAGAGTTTCGGATGAATTTCGTTGGAAGAGTGATTTTTCAATTACAACAGGTTCTCATTTATCTTGGCTAGAGTTGCCTTTGCAATTCTTTGAGAGAGTGCTTTTGAATTTCTTGCAAGTGTTTTTCTTTTCTTTAGACAAGAGTTGCATTTTAAATATGTTGAAGAAAAAAAAAATTATGGCTCATAAGTTTTTGTGAATTGAATTTTTTAGACGAGAGTTGCCAGATGTGATCATGCTTGGGGATGAGTTGCCAGCTCCTTCAGCAAAAGCCTGTCAGCTGTGTTTTTCAGTGGGTGCCATCAGAAGACACGCGAGGTCGAAAGACTCTAGTCATCCCCATCACCACAGACGAGAACGGAATTTTTATCACGAAGCCCTGACATCACCCGTTTTGGATGCTGAAGACGGGATTCTCAGCACTGAGTCGACTTACTGGGGTTTCATGGAAGTTATTGGTGGGGAGAAAATGAGGAATTTGCTAATTTTTTGTTTGGTCATAGTTGGTAACTCTTGAATTTTTTTTTTTTACTTAGTTCAAAAGCCGGATGGTCACGCAGGAGTGAAAAGGAGTCGGTATTTTGCGATGGATGAAGCACCGGTTCCGGGTTTGAGTGCGAGAGAAGGACCAGGTACGAGTTTCAGCACTTCGAAACTCGTGCCAATTATCTCTGGCATTTTGCTGGGTGTTTTGGTCGTTGGGTTTTTGCTCATTGGGATTTTCTTCGCGTTGAGGAATTATTCCAAGCTCTTGGCGGCTGGACAAGGCGTGGAACATTCCTTCAGCTTCTCTGTCAGGTGAGGTTTTGGTGTAACGTAAAAAATTTCTCAACAGTACAAGGAACTGAGAGAAAAAAAAGGTGTTACTTGGGGTTTGTGGTTCTTTGGGAATGTATTGGACTTGAATTTTGTGAGAAATGGGTAATAGATGCTTTAAAGCAGTGTTACCCAACCCTTTTGGGCCAGCAAATTTCAAGAACAACATTTCTTGCAAGCTGGAAAACTTTAAAACTATTTTCTGCAGACTGGCAAAGTTTCATAGAAGTTTTGCAGACTCAAGAAAGTTTTGTTTGAGAGACTTTATGGCAGGTATTACAAAAGTTTCTGGTTTTTTGCAAAAATTAATTTGAGAACCAATAAAGCAGTGATGGTGAGATTTATTTAAAATAAATTGATGGTGGGCTTGAAGGAAGTTTTCTCAGAATTAAAATAATTTATAAGCAGGGGAAAATTTGTCTTGAGTGATTTCAGAAGAAAATTAAACTTCCATCAGATAATGTCAACTGTCATTTGCTTTCTAAAATTTCAGGTAAAGATGATAGAATTCATTGTTTTGATAAATTTCTTTTGTCCAAGAACATTTTTCCCCCGATTCGCCAAAAACGTTTGCAGACCAGTGCTGGTCTGTGGACCACAGGTAAGGGAACACTTCTGTGAAGTCCCGTATTTCCTTGAGTACCACGCGCACCTTTTTTTTTCTCAAATTTCAGAAGAAAAAATGGGTGCGCGTCATAAGCAGGTACAAATTTTTCAAGAAGTTTTAAGAAGTTATGTGTGCATTATGCTTATGATTTCGAACTGAAAAACCCCTGTGGGCGCCTTACTTGAGGGCACGTGGTACTTAAGTAAATACGGTAGTACATACAGTTCTTCAATGTAAAATAAATGAAGAATTGCTATTTTCCAACTTGTTTTTCATGAAGTAACTTCATAATGTGAAACAATTCATAATGTGAAATGCAATTCTCTCATTTTATACCTTCCCTCTCTTGAATGTCCTAAAAATACACTGATCCTGCTGAAGTCTGAACTGAAACAAACAGAAAATATGTGTTTTAAGAACAGCGTATAATCATTAATTTAAAACTGTATGTTCCCTGACATAGAACAATATCCTTCCAAAAATACTTTCCTTTTGAGAAATTTTCCATTTTTGGTTTTGAGCTCCTCATTTTCTTTGATGCTGATTTTTTTCTTGCAAAGAGGTAACCATTGATATTGTTGACGGCTTTTCAATTATGTGCATGTTGGCTTTCCCATATTCTGCCAAAAATATCTGAATCACGCGTAATCCAGGCAAAAATTTGTTTTACTGTATCAAGATTAAAGAGGGAAAATTGGTGTTTTATAAAGACATTTCTATAACATTGTCCCTATGAAGAAAATGTTGGGATAAAGAAGTCAATTTGTTATACACTAGATAATTTGTGACGGAATGTATTTCATGTAATGTATTCAATGAAGATCTCCTTCATGTGGCTTCTCGGTTTTTTTTTTCAATAAATCGATCATTTTCGAGACATTCACGCGTCATCATCATTATTATTCCATTTTCCAGACACATGTGGGCGAGTTTGCGAGGGAATCCGGAAGGGATCCCGTTGTCTCAACCCCCGCCACCCGACAGATCCCCGATCCCAAAGTCGAAATTGGTGCCGGCCTTCGTCACCAGACACAGGGACGGTGACGCGGGTTTCCGCAGTGAATTCGAGCTGTTGCCCGATCGATTCGCCGACAGAACGACGCATTCTTCGGACGACTTGAACAACAGCGGGAAGAATCGTTACCCGGACATCAAAGCCTATGATCAGACGAGAGTCACGTTGAGCAAAACGGGAACGACGGAAGAGCACGCGTGTTCGGATTACATTAATGCGAATTTCGTCGTGGGCTTCAAGGAGAGGAAGAAGTTCATTTGCGCTCAAGGTTGGCAATTGAAAAAAAAATAGCGTTTGTTTCAAAAAAAAAAGATAAATAAATGTGTGAATTATTTATTTTTGCGTATAGGTCCTTTGTTGGGAACGGTGAATGATTTTTGGCGAATGATTTGGGAGTACGAGGTGCAGCTGATGATCATGTTGACGAATTTCGAGGAGAACCGGAAAGTCAAGTGTTGCCACTATTGGCCCGAAGAAGGCACTGAAACGTATGGTGACATCACTGTCTCCTGTGCTGCGGAAAAACCCTACTCCGGTACATTTTTTGTCACAAGAAAAAGAACAAATTAGCCTCTTCTCAATTTTTATTTGCACGAAAACAAATTTGTTTCAAGGGGGCTAACAAAAGTTCTTGGAATAGAAACTTTGAAATGGCACGTGAAAAAAATATTCCTTTGGCATGAGAAGGAAAATATCAAGAGCTGTTTGACGTTGTTTTTGTGAATGTTTTGTCTTGAAAAAAAATTGCACGAGGAAAAGAGTAAATTTACTTCTCTAATTTTCATTTGGATGAAAAAATTTGCTTAAAATTTTTTTTTTAGCTCAATCGGGTGCCATTTCAGTTTTTATCAAATCCTTGGATGCATTTGAATTTGAATATTTTTTTTACCTCTTTTTTTTAGACTATGTGCTTCGGAGGTTGAGAGCAGAGAAAGGTGAAGGCGAGTCGAAGGAGACCCGAGAAGTGGCCCATTATCATTACCTCGTGTGGAAAGATTTCATGGCACCCGAACACCCCAGTGGTGTTTTGAAATTCCTCAAAAGAATCAACTCTGTTTACACGCCCGACAAGGGGCAAATTCTCATTCACTGCAGGTGCGTCATTTAATTTTTATTTTTGGAAAAAAAGGAACAGCCTTGAGATAATTTTTTTTTAATGTTCAGTGCTGGTGTTGGAAGAACAGGGACCCTGGTTGCCCTGGATTCTTTGCTCCAGGAGATGAATGAAGAAGGAAAGGCGTCTGTCTTCAACACTGTGTCCGAGTTGCGGCACCAAAGAAACTATTTGGTTCAGTCTTTGGTGGGTGTTTCATTCGACGTCAAATTGTCTGTCCCTGGTTTTTTTAGATTTTATACTGTAAAATAAATCATTATACTGTAATTAAAATTCCCAGGGATGCGAGAAAATATTCCATGTGATGAGATTATTGGTTGTTTTGATTATGTGAGAAACCGGTCATTGAGGCTTTGAACTAAACTTTCCCAACAGATTTCCGAAGGATATTCTTAATTTTCTAACTTCTTGGAATGAAAGAATGGATGCAATTTTATTTTCCTTAAATTTTATAAAATGAATTTAGTTGATCTTTCTCAAATGTCAGCTGGAACAGACAGAAAGTACGTCTTCAAGCAGGGAATTGATTCATTCTCTGACATTGAACAATATCCTTCAAAGCATACTTATCTCTCAAAAAATTGCAATTTCTGATTCCTAAAAATAAAACTGAATGCCCTTCTATGCGAGCTTCGTATTTCTTGTATTACTGCTTTTTTTCACTTGATAGTAGCATTTATATTGTTTTGGACATTTTTCGGTAAAGCACAGGTTGCGTTTTCAAAAATTGTGTAAATTATGGACAATTTAAATGGCACATGATCCAGGCAAAAATTCATTATAGTGAGATCATCGAGGAAGATTACTTGTTCATAACATTTTACAACACTTTCGCAAGAAGGAACTGCTGGGATCGTGAAAACAGTTCTTGTGGCGGAATTTTACTGAATCTTTTTTTTTTGATATTATAAAGTTTGCTAGCGTTTTCTTCCCATTGCTTTTTAAATATTTTAAAAACAGTGTTTTCTCCAGATTCGGTGTGACGGAATTTTACTGTATCTTTGTTCGTGCAGTATTCCATATATGTCGCCTAGCTGATTCATTCGGCAATTGATTTTTTCGATTATTGCAGAAACAATACATATTCGTGTATCGTGGCCTGATGGAATACGCTCAATTCGGGGACACGGAAGTTGCTCAAGGAGAGCTGCGGGAAAACTACCAGAGGATGATCCAGCGTCCTTCCATGGAATTTGGCAGTGGGAAAGGGATTTCGCCCATGCAAGAAGAATTTTCGGTGCGAAATGTGGCATTTGTTCCCCTCACCCTCTTTCGAAAATTATTTGCATGAAAGAGTCTGATTTATTTTTATTTTTTGTTATTAGCGATTGGCGGAGGCCGTGGAAGACCCCAAGCCCATCACTTACGCCACGAATGAGCAGAACGAGGAGAAGAATCGTTGTTCTGCGATAGTTCCGTATGACCAGAACCGAGTCATCCTGAGTCCCGTGTTCTCCAAGCCCGACGAAACGTATATCAATGCTTCCTTCATTCAGGTGAAATTCATTTTCAACTCCTCGAGGAATTAAAAAAAAAGAACAAGAGTAGTAGTGGAACTGATGAGGAATTTTTATGTAGGGTTACGACCACTCGATGAGTTTTGTGATCACTCAAGACCCTCTGAAATCGACACGGGTGGACTTTTGGCGGATGGTGCTGGACCATAATGTGACTACCCTGGTGATGTTGTCCGAGTGTGAGTGTGAGGCTGACGGGGACGAGGCGGGGTTGTGTGATGACGATGATGAGCGAGACGCGCTCACTGCTGCTGCGGACGTGATGTGTCCCCAGTACTGGCCCGACAGTGCTGACGAGGACGTCACTTTTGACCACATCCGGGTGTCGCTGGCGAAAATTGACACGTTGCCCATGTTCATCAAGAGGACCCTGACTGTGACTAATGTCAAGGTGAATGATGATTTTGCTGACGTTTGAGCAAGAGGATGATGTTTTCAAACCCTGAAGTAGGGCCCAAGAGGAAAATCTGTTTGAATTTTTGGTACTTTCCTGTTATCTCTGTACCTCATTCCTAGACCGCACTACCATCCAGACAAATCTTTAGGACAAGTTCATAATCACAATAACCTAACAGAAACTGTGAATTTTATTTTTCCGCATTCTGCTGAAATTCTGAGATATTTGTAACTAACACCCAACCCAACCTAACTTCACCTAACCCCCTCCCAAAATCAGTTTCTGCTTTCTTTGAGCTTCTGCTGAAACTGATTTTGGGAGGCAGTTAGGTAAAGTTAGGTTAGGTCAGGTGTTAGTTACAAGTATATTTTAATTAACGTAACCTGACCTAGCCTAACTTTACCTAACCGCCTCCCAGAAAGCAGAAACTGATTTTGGGAGGCAGTTAGGTGAAGTTAGGTTAGGTCAGAGGAAAGGTACAGAGATAACAGGAAAGTACCAAATTTTCTTTTGATTATTTGTAATGATATCAATTTTTGAGTAATGCAGTAGAGCATGAATTTTGTGCTACTTGGAAATAGTGCCACAAATCTCCCTGTATTGTGCTCTTGAGAGAAACCCAGATTTCATGTCTCCAAAAATGTCTTCCTGCTTTCAAAATTGGCAAAATCATAGGAATCCCTGGAACAGATTTGTTGTACTCCTAAAATAAAATCCAGCTTCATGGTCACAAGAAAATGCCTGGTCCTGCATTAACAATAGGCATAAATCAAATAGAATTGACGTAGTGGGCTTTTGAGGTGACACCAGATTTGGTGCCACAAAAATATTCATTGTCCTGCTTGAAAAATTGGCAAAAATGAAGAAAATTAAGGCATTTTTCCAAGTATATCATTTGGTTATTACTGGGAGTCTTGTGAGTAGGGCGTTTGTGGAACAACGAGGGAATGGATGATGAAGCTGCAGTGGAATGAAATGTAGAAATCAGGTGGTTTTAGACCAAAAACATATACTTGTATATTCAAGGAGACATGTTGAATGTATGTTCTTGGATTTTTCAAAGAATGATTTATTGTGTAATTTGATGGCAAAGAAACAAAAGAATACATGAAGAATCCTGAGGGAAATACGCTAATGAATGGAAGGAATTTGTCCAGAAATCCCAATCTAAGCCCGGATTCAAAGTAATTCTTCACATTGATGGTTGTGTGAAGACAGCTTTGTAATCAAAGTTAAAGTTTGGAGAGGAGGGAAATCCTTCACTGGGTTTATCTGTCTCTCCATGCTCATGTATGAATGAATGAACAGAATCCTTTATTTGCCACTTTTCAGCATTCACAAGGTTCAATCAAGATTTCCACATCCAAACCCCCTTCCCACCCAACCCAAATCAGCTCAAAGACACTTGATCACTTCAGAGCAGGAAACAGAGCACAAATGGATAACAAAAATAAAAGAAAATGCAATCCACAAAATACAACTGGACATCTGACATGTATGCATACACCCATTCCTTCCCTGACATTGAAAACAAAATATCAGTAACAATTAATTTAAAGCACAAGGTCTTCAGCTTGTTTCTGTATGAGGTTCAGTTGAATGAACAATTTAGAGAGAATCTTTGATGAGGAATCATATAAGGCCAACAGTTTATCTTGATCCTTTAAAATTTCAGAAAGGGTCTCTTCCATTGAATTCCAATACATGTAAATCTTTCTTTCTTTGCTCATGTAAAAATTGGCAATAACTTTCACAATTGACATTGTTTTATTTATTTTTTGCATGACACCTTCCATTCTTGAAAATATAGAAATACACTAGGAGCTGCCCTGGAAACACTGAGGATTCCTGCATAATGGCACCTGAAAAAAAATCAAACCAAACTCGAGAAAAAGTTGTGCTCTTTTCCTGGACAAAATGCGCGTAAAAATCTAATGTACTGTATTATGTTTTCTTAATGTGCTGAAATATGGTATAAAAATAGTGAATTTGAGCTTGAAATTCATTGTTGTAGCTTCCTCTATTATTAAACAGACTCAATGGCTTGAAAAATTCTGAACAAGCTTTACTTTGCAGTCCTCAACTAAACATTCCTCTTATTTTACACCCTTGATTTAAAAGAAGTAATTCTACACTTATTGGTGATAATCTAATTGTTTGTTTTTTCAGATTTTTAATAAAACAACAGTGATATTTATTCCTTCCTTTTTCCCTCGATTCTAGAATGGGGAGACAGTCACTGTGAAGCAGTTTCAGTATCTGGGCTGGGCAGATTCTGAATACGCAGATCCAGCAGACAAGACAGTTTCAGCAGTTCCAGAATCTACCAGTGGCCTGTTGGAATTGAATAGTCAGATTTCCAGGACTCAAGAAACTTCCCAAGAAGTTGGGATTGTCGGTGTGCATTGCAGGTGAGCAATTTCGTTGTTGTTTACACCTGAAGAGAAAGAGGGGAGAATGATTTCAAATTTTGAATTCGCTACAGATTTGGAGGGGATCGGAGTTCTGTGTTCGTGTGTTTATGCATTTTGCTGCAGCAGCTGAGGACTGAAAGAGCTGTAGACGTTTTCCAGACTGTTAGAAACCTGAGGTCTCAGCGTCCAGGCATGATTCAGCATCTTGTAAGACATAAAAAAATTTACATTCCAATTCTCTTGTTACTTGAGTGCTTTTGTTTTTTTTTAGGCCCAGTACGAGTTTTTATACAAAGCTTTGGTGGACTACTCAGACAAGGAAAGTCCTTGAAAAGAAAAAAAATTCCGTGAGGACCAAGAAACAGTTTTTTTTTTTTGTTATGTGTTTTTTCCAAGGGCCAGCATTGCTTTAGGGTGACATCTGTGGCAAAGGAGACTAGGATGTGCCATGGGAGGGGTCACTGGGATGGAAATTGAACTCGGGAGGATGGATCGTGACTCAATTGTTGTTCGTTTGTTTGTGTGTGTGTGAGTGTTTTTTGAAAGTCTGCTGCACTTTGAAGCAAAGTGCCTTCCCAGAAGAAAAGAAAAGAAAACAAAGATTTACCGAATAGTCAAAAAAGAAAGATTTTTGTGGGATTTCTCAAAATTAATGCTGTTTGACTGAGGTTTGAACGAACAGTGGCAATATTTGTCTCAATGCAAGAGGCTGTTTTAGGAATTGCAGTTTTTTTATTTTAAGAAATCTCATTTCAAATTGAATGGTCAGTTTTTGGTGTAGATGTCGCTGGTATTTATGAGATCAATATTGCTACTGATTTGGTTCCCTCGAGAGGAATACCAAGTGTATCCAGACATTAAGAAACGGAAAGAAAGAAATCCTTGCAGCAGTTCTCAAGTGGGGGAGAAAAAGTTTGTAAATACCTTAGATCAAGCGACTCTGTGTTCAGGAAAATATGGCGCAATGAATGTTTCTGTTGTGCGTGTGTGTGTGTGTAAGGGGGAGGGGATTTATGACAAAAGAGGGTTTGTGGAAGGGTTTGGGTTGGGGGTGCAAAAAGAAAGAGGGAAAAAAGTCGTGATAGTGAAGCTGGGCAATTCTCCATCCCTCTCTCTCTCTCCATTCCAAGTCAGACCCTTGTGTTTTCTTTTTGAAGGCTATTTTCTCACAGGGTATAGATTTTTCTACTGCTCTTCCACTTGCATTTTTTCACCTCTGAAAAGAAAGGCGTGTAAATAAGCTGCCATTCCATGTGTTCTTCCAAGTGATTTTTATGCTGCTCTCTATATTCACATGCATGTGTGGTCCCCCCCCCCCCCTTCCCCTGTGAGGCTTGTTCTGTTTTTTTTTTATTGTTCTTGTGCTGCAGGCATCAGACAAAGAGGATTGTAATGGCACACCATGGGCAGGGATTCAGCTGACGCTGCCTGGATGAATAAAGCAAAAAAAAGACTTGAAACATGTCAGCCACACTTTTAGAAGACCTTTATTTCACCTTTTTGGGGGTTTCAGTTCAGGTGGACTCTGTCTACAATAAAGTTCAAGAGACCAAGAAAAATTTCTTTGGAGAAATTTTATAATATGCTGAGAGAACCCTGTGGGACCCGACAGAAATTTGCTCTACAGGGAAAATTGTTGTTGACAATAGGTCTATTGTAGAGGGATTCCACCTGTACAGAGAAAACTGTGCTGTTTTTACAAGTATTTACTCAAATACTGAGTGCAAAATTCTCCTTGGAACTAAGAGGGAGCAGCAGGGATGTGAAGTATAGGCAGGCACAAATCTTATGTTAAATTTGAATGGGAAATTTTGGATCATTTCCTCCAGAAAAGTTTGCAGTATTTTCTTGAGTAGCATGTGCACCTTTGTCTCAAATTTGGAAAGGGGCGTGCATTACACTTGATTCTATACTGGGAAAATGTTGACCAATTTTCACAGAAACACTTACTTTGATGATTGAAAACAATTCAAATTGCTGCTAAATTCTTGTCTTAAGTTCAAATTTGGGTGTTCATATCTTGAAATATAGTGAGACTCCTGGATGCAGACATAACTGGTGCATCAGGAGTGTCCTGAAGTCAAGTCTTGTTTTCCCCTAGACTTACATTATATAATTTTAATTGGTGTTTTATGGAAGAAATATTCTTTAGAACTCCATGAAAAAAAAATTGTTTGCCACTTGAATTTGATTCAGTGAATATCTCTTCAACCCAATGGGAACATTTTGAGCATTGAATAGTATACTGCTGTACAGTTCATTGAAATGTTGGCTTCTGTAAAAATAACGTACAAGTCATGAAGAGCGGAAGGAAGTCCATCTGTGCTACCCAGCAAATACAGTAATTCACCCATGCTTTTACCTGTATATCACCTGGCATACATGATGGGTAGCAGTCACTTGTTATGGAATTAAGTGGGTACTATGGGTCAAAAAAAATTATGAAACTACCGTAATGGAATACCGAAGTTTTCATGGGTGACTGTGCTAAGCAGGGGTGTTCTCTTTTACACTTGCTTTGTTGAAGGTGAGGGAGATTCAGCCATAAATGTATGGGTAAATCACTGGTATTTTTGAAAATGGGTGAACTGCACACCAATGCCCTGTTTGGGCTACTAACAATGTACTGGAGAAGAATAATCCTCTTGTGTGTCACGTGACAGCGTGACATTGCCAATTTCTCTGCTTATGCAACACGTTTGACTAACCATATATATTTTTTTTCCTTCTTCTCACAATATATGGCCATTCAAGGGAAACCCGAGGGCCACAGCTATAGAGCAGGTGCTGCTGCTGTATTCGAGTCACGTGGCGTCCTTTTCTTTTCCCCAGAATGGGCGCCGTTTTTGTCGCGTCATCACTCGTATAGCGAAAAAGATGCTGAATAAGTCTGTAGTCCCTGGAAAAATGTGCACAGCCTGTATAGTCGTCATCCGGAAAGACATGCGGACATGACTAAAATTGCGAGGTTTTTCTGCATTTTGCTGATTTTTGTTGTTGTTGCTGCTGGTGCTGGAATCAACTGCTTCGAGTTGCCAAAGTAAGTTTCGAAATTTTGTGGGGAGTATCATTTATAGCTTTCTTTCTTTTTTTGGCGTGTGCTGAAATAGGTGGAATCTCGATGATCCTGCGAGGATCCTACAGACGACTTTTGGGATTGTTGCGAGGGGTTCGGAAGCCTTGGCTTCAGTGGGTGCTGCACCCAGGTTCTTTTCCCAGCTGAGTTCTGCTTCTTCCAGTGCTGCGAATGTCATTGAACATCGGGAACAGCTGAAAGCACTGGCCAATGAGCAAGTTAGACATAATTTCCCTTGGAAAATTTTCATTTCATTTTAATGACATCAAAGGCCTTTTGAATTTTGTGTGTCCATTGAGTGGACATTTTATGGGTAGGATCATAGATGACACTTCCAAAAATAATTTTTGTGCAAGTGTGTTTGCAAACCTTTTTGGGTCTCTATATGTGGACAACAATTTCCATGGAAATGTTTGCAGACCAGCAATTTTCCCTAAAATTTTCTACAGACTGGCATTTTTTCATGAATTTTTTGCAGACTCAAAAAAATTTTTTCAAAGACTTAGTGGCAGGTATTTAAACAGTTTTTGCTTCTTCTGCAAAAATCAAGTTAAGAACCCATGAAACAGATATGAGATTCTCTATAATGAGATTTCTTCAAAGAAGTTGGAAAAACAGGGGTATTGCTCAAGGGAAGGTTTCATGCTCAGAATGATAAATTAAAATTCTCCATTTCAGCAGGTGAAAATTTGTCTGAATAAGTGTTATTAAAAGGGAAGCCAACTCTTATTTTCCAATAGATAATACATCAACTGCCCTTGACTTTCAAAAATGTCAAATGAATACAACAGACTTCATTGTTACCTTGGATGAATTTAATATGTGGAAGAAATTTTCTTGCAAACAAGCAATGGTCCTTTATTGTTGGAAATGACAGGGGAAAAATCCTGTGGCACCAAAAAAAAATTGTTATACAGAGAAAATTGTTGTAGACAAGATTGTCCAAATGTCTCTATGAGGATGTCTGTAACTGCAGTGAAGGTTTGTATGGGCAACAACTACTCAGCTCTGCTAGGAAACTTCTAGTTTTATCCTAATTTTGGGTAGATGTCACTCATTTTAACACGTTTTTATTAACTTGCTTTCTTGTCTGTTTGTTTGTCTGGATCAAATTTTGCAACTCAAATTTCGCTCACTTCCCGACTAGCTAGCAATCTGAAACTTTCAGGGTAGCTTAGAAACTGATGACAATGCAATCTTTTGTGAAAAGAAAAATTATAATAATATTTTTTAAAAAGAATAACAAAACGTGGTTTTTTAGATTAATTTTTTAATCTACTAAATTTTTTTTCTCATGGGGATATTCTCCATATCATTCTGCCTCAGGTGGTGCTACACAAGCAAGGAGTCATAAAGAACCAGCACCCAAGACTGAGCTATGACACATACATCAAACCAACCTACAATGGCTGGCACATATCAGAGATCCATAGGCCTGGTTGGAGTCTGACAAACATTGCTCATGAAAGCAACAGGAAGAAGGCAGAATTCCTGCTGCAGGCCTTGCATGATTTGAGCCAAGTCACACACCACCATGGGAATAATGACAGAGGAAGATATCCTCTACCTTCTGAGACCAGTAGTGCTGCTGATGATGATGTGTCATCATCAGAAGAAGAAGACACTGCTGGTGGTGTTTCTGGGAGACAAACTGGGATGAGTGTTTATGAGAGGAGACTCAAAGAGGCCAAGGAAGCAGTTGGTGTGTGTATTAAATTGTGCATGTGAATCTTCTCAAGTGGGGGAACAAGTGTGAGTATATATCAACAATTTAATTGCAGAGGATTTGACTGAGGAGTGTTTGAGGAACACAGACCATAGGACAGTGGCTGATTGCATGAAGCACTTGCTGGTCAAGCACAGGAGTTACTTTCAGCATGGGGAGCCCTCCAGGAACATCTCTGCACCTCTGGAACCTGTGGCCTTGAGCAGGATTGACTTCACTTCTGACCTGGGGTTCAAGGTGTCTTTGGGCAATATCCAGGTGTATGGTGTATCCCATGGGTTCACAGATGACAGACTTTTCATCAGGTTCTTACTTTTTTTATATCTATGCCAAAAATGAAGTAAAAAAGTGAGCAAAAGGAAAAGATGTGCTTTCCATACTTTGCCCTGAGGGGATGATGAGTGGGTTTCAGTTTGCTGCAGTACCCTGAACCATGGAGCATGCTGTCCTACCTGAGGTACACCATCTTGTTGCCAGTTGTGAATATCAATGGCTACTTCAGCATTGATGGCAAAGCAGTGAAGTTAATTTTTGCTGATGAAATGCCTGCTGGGGAATTGGGGTACCTGGGGAAGCATTCTGGTTCTTTCAGGGGTGCCATCAGTGAGTATAGTGTTATTTTGGTTCTGTATGTTAATGCCAGCTATATAGTGAAAATGATGGCATGTTTTGGTTCTTTTTAGAATTTATGAAAGCATCTGGTGATGGATACATTTTGTCATTCCCTGATGGCAGTGCAATGGCTGCCAACATCACCATGTCTTTCATGTACTTGGACTGGTCTGTGTCATTGCGTTCCCGCAGGAACCCAGTACTCAGTAAGTTGTTTATTTTTCTCAGAATGCGTACTTACAATTGTTTGGCATTAAAAGGTCATTACAAAAAACCCATGGGACCTTCAGAAAAAGTTTGTGAGAATTAATTATTCTGCTATAAGGAGATTTGCAAATTATTGACTTATTGGAAGACTGTTCTAAATTAAACATGTATATATTCAAAGTCATCCATTTGTGAAATTCCTAGATGTTTTTCCATATTAGGAAAACTGTGATCTTCAAAAGGAAAGTCAAATGCCAGTAACAAACATTTATTTTGAATAACAGGTAAGTACAATCACTTTTTCACACTTTTACAGTTCGTGTGATTCCTGCAGAAATTTTTATGGGTGGATGTTCAACAAAAATCTTAAAGTTTTCCAGCAACTAGCATCAGTAAGATTTAACTGTTCCTCAAAAAAGATTAATGTGTTGGAGTTGCAGAATTGGTTCTAAGAAGATTTTTATAACATGTACCACTTGAGATTCCTCCAGCAGGGACTTGGAAAAACGTTTGTTATACTGAAAAATGTATTTTGACAAGCTTTCATACTGTGATTTCCTAGCTCAGAAAATGGAGGCCATGTTGAATGACAAGTTCAAAGGAAGGTCCTTGCTGGACCAAATGAGCATCCCAATTGCAGACTCCCTCACCTCCATCTTCTCCCAGATCTTCACTGATGCTTACCTGGCCTCCAGCAAGACCAAAACCACCAGCACTGCTCATCATCAGCAAGGCAGAGTCTCTGTGCAAATGGACTCTGACCCCAAGAATAATCATAAGAGACTGAGGAACAAAAATAAACAGAACTTGTCCAAATACCAGAATATTTCTCTGAGTGGCCTCCTTGACCTGGAAGCCATGTATGAAGAGTTGTTTGAGAAACTCAACACCAGGAGTCATCACCACTGGAGCTGGGAGGAATTCTCTCAGCAAAGCTTGCCTGGTTTCAGTCAGTCCTGAAAAAAAATTGAGTTACCCCTGTGATTTGCAGATGCAGTGGACCCTTTGATAACAAACTTTTTTCCCAGGGAAAAATCCCAAATTTGAAAATAAAAAATTTGATTTTGAGGCTGAAATGTTTGGTACAATCCAAGTGCAAATACTTCATCTATGCACTGATATGAAAATGCATTCCTCCTGGCACTTCAATATGTATAATATTGTCTTTTAACATTTGTTTTATGACTCATATACTTTTCTGTTTCAGAAATATTTTCTTTTCTGTTTTTGATTTTTCTGGTTTTTAAATTGTTGGAAAAGTATATTTTATCTACAATTGCAGCATTGAAAATAATAAATTTCATATTCACCTGACATGTAGCCTTCAGTATGTCTTTTTCTGGATGTGAAGCTTATTTATTCTTGTTTTCATCAGTGTTGCTTCAATGTACCTCTGTAAAAATATTCTCGGTACATAAAATGTGCTGCCACAACTTACAGTTTTCTTATTATAGTTTATGGTCTTGAATTTTTTCAGATTCAATGTTCAATTGTCTTTTGGGTTCACATAATTCCTCTTCATTGCAGTTTTTGAATTGGTCTGCAAACTTTTGTCTGGAACCAATTAAGTTTGTTAACCCAGGGTCCCAATATATACAGTATTCATTTTTTTCAAACACTGTGTCTGTGGAAAAGTGTTGTGCACACACAAGAAAAGAAAAATGAAACTTTATTAAAATGTTCCATACAGTGTCCTGTTGACAGGTCAGAGACCTCATCCCCCTTGGATGGCAGCAGCAGTGGGTTACACATACTTGGAGACCTTGTGTGTGTGTGCGTGTGTGTGTGTGTGTGTGTGTGTTTGGGATTTTTCTTCTTTTGTGGAAAGGACATCCCTTTATTTTTGGGCCTTTGTACCATACAGTATATGCTGCATGTGTACCCTCCCTCCCAATCTCCCCCTGGTGGGTCGATGCGTAACTGAGCAACACTTGAGGTGAGGGACGGATTGCTGGTGGGCGGGGCGAGGAATGAGGGGGAGATGCTTGCTCTGCTGGGGGGCGCGACGCTATGTCAAGGCATGGATGCGCGAGAGACTGAGACTCGCATGAATCTGTGTACAGTACTGTACAGTATAGTACAGTTTATTAGACGCGCGCCTTATTTTGTATGGAGTGATACAATACATTTCCCTCCAGATAAAAAAATCGAACGTAATTTTTTTTATCTGGAGGGAAATGTATTGTATAACTGAACCTAGTCTTTAAATTGAACTTCAATTAGGGACCAGCAAAAAATGCAATTTGAGTTGCTGGGGAGATTTGAGTTATCAAGGTTCAATTGTGCATATTATTCTGAAGACTTAATTTACTGCACAGCTTTTGGGGATGAATGATATAAAAATTTTAAGGACAACATCATTTATTTATTTAAGAGTTGCTGAGGAGGTTTGAGTTATCAAGGCTCAATTGTGCATATTATTCTGAAGACTTAATTTACTGCACAGCTTTTGGGGATGAATGATATAAAAATTTTAAGGACAACATCATTTATTTATTTAGCATTGTTATATAAGAAAGTGAAGACAGTATGTTGTGGTAATCAAAGCTTGTTTTTTCAGCAATATTCTGGATACTGTCTCAATCAACTTAGTTTAAATGAATGCAAACATTGGGTCCAATGCTGTGTTTTCCAGCTTATATATACTGTATCACTTTATTAGATTACAGTTGTGAAATCGTGTCACAATAAAAAAGTCATTAGGTTTATATGAATAGAGCTTCATCATAACAAACCATTTCTGATGATTGGATTTTAAGAACTTGTATACTGTATATGGCATCATGAAGCTGAAACATTATTTTGTTGCAACTGGAATTTTTTTATCTGAAATATATAATGCAATTGCATTTCAAGAGCAAGTGTTTTTGTGTTCATAGATTCCAATAGTCAGCAGCATGTTTCACTTCCTTTTTAAAGCCACTGCACAAGTTTTTGTCATCCTTTACATTGATTTATCCACATGAGTCTGACTTTTGAAGTTTTGACCCACGAATTTGCTGGAATGAGTTGATCCACTGCTCTGAATTCTCAGTGATTATGTGTAATATTCATGAATACAATTTTTTGTGATTTTTCAGGGAGTATTCACATACATTTTGGTTCAGAGGAACCTCATAATGTCAAAACTAACCTCCTTACATTTTTAAAAATTTTTGAGACCTTCCTTGACAAATCTCAATGTAATTGGAGCATTTTCTTCAACTTTTAAAGGCTATCAAATTTCACAAGATATGTCTTGGAAACAGAAATAAAGAAAAATGAAGATACTTTCTTTTCACTCTTGAATATAGGGATTAGGCATTTGTGCTTCTGCAGATGGGCTATCTATGAATCTTTAACAGTTACAACAATTTACCAATTGAAACCATATTAATGGACGGAAAAAGTTTTTGAAAGTAAACTCATCTTTAAACCAAAATGCAAAAACAGAACGAGAAGGGGTACTCTTAGTTCCTATAGTTCGTAAACATCTGTTCCTCAGAATAACTCCGGCGCTCGTTGAAGGACAAAGAATATTTATGTCTCATGGTAAAGAAGAACAGGTACGAAACTTATCAGGACGTTATTCTCTAGAAACGACGTACGACCACACGGGGAGAGGTCACTCGGTACTTCTTATATATCTTCCTCTCTCTCTCCCTATATTCCGGGTAGCATGCTGCACACTGAGAGAGGTTGACGGAGACCGATATAAAACGAAGTACATAACCCAAGGAACATAGAAGTCAACCGGGACTCCCAGGTTTGTCACTTCTACACCCAACAAACACTCATTTTTTCGTTAGTTTGAATATTTAAAAACCAATTTTTATTCTCTGATTAATAATGATGGGTTATGATATTTTCTGATTTTGGAGCAGCAGCTGCTGGATTTTTTGGTCGGAATTCAAGTGTCAGCCAAAATGGCCTCGGGTTTCTGAGTGTTGCAGTTACAATAAATACAAATACAGTGGTTGCTGTCATATCACAAAGGAATGGTGTTGTCCACCATTTTGGCAGTAGAGGGCAGCAGGAGTGTGCGTCCACAATGGGCACCTCGCACTGGGGGCATAGGTGGGGCAGCTGGGCCACTGGGCCAGCACAGGAGGCCACATGCCTCAACAGGAGGTGGTCCTATGTCCTTTTCTGCCCAGCATCATCATCAGAGGCTGCATTGGTCATCACAAAACAGCAGAGGCAAGGGCGTTTTTCAAAAAAGTACTATATCACTATAAAGAATAAAACTAGTGAATTGGGAATCTGTAGAAAAAATAGCTTGCTTATGAAGATCTTCAAACAAAAATGTGGCAGTAATTCCTTTGATTTTTTTGTAATGAGATTCTTTTGTACATCAGAGTTGTCAATTTCTATGCAAGGAAGCACAATTGCAAATTGTTATTTTTGTGATTGCAATTGGGAAATACTTTTCAACATGCAGCATTCATTGCAGTTTTCTTTTTGGAAAAACTTCTCTGAAAAATAGTGATTTCAATGGGGCAATTGAATTTTTGACTCCAATTGTAACAACCCTGCATGTATATAAAAATATTCATAGAGCCAAGAAGTGGCTTTGAAGCAAAGAAGTACTCCTGGCTCTGTGGTACTTGTGGAGGTGCCATTGGTGCACTTGGGTTGGCATATTTGGCAGTTTACTTCTCCATCAGGAACCAAACATCTTCTGTGCAGTACTTTGAGACAGTGCCTACAATTGTACCTGCTTCTTTGGTGAGTACACAGGATATCATTATTATTATTATTATTAATTTTTAAATACAGGTGGCACTTTGCAATACAATGTCCCACAATTCAACTGTCCTGCGATTTGATGGTCAAATTTGCTGGGACATTGACTTGAAATTTAATCTCTTGCCCCACAATTTGAACTGCAAAGAGACTCAAAAAGTCAAATTCAATGTATAGAAAACATGGAATTTGTCATTGTCTTGCAATTTCACTGCTTCACAATTTCACCCTTACCTGCAGGCAACAGATTAGGGTCAAATTGCCGGGCATCACCTGTATACTGTGAATCTGGTATTTGAAATTCAGGATTATTCTTCAGGATGTAGTTTCATGAGCAGTTTTATTAATTCTTATGACTGCTGCTTTCTCTTTATTCCATGTATTTTTTATTGAATTGGTAGCAATTAGTTCAGAGTATCCCATTTTATAATTTCCCAGACAATTATTCATAAATTTGATAAATTGAACTTGCAAGTAGCAGGGTTATAAAAATTGACGTGTGTACTGTGAAAATATGAAGTTGAGGAGTGGTGTTGATGAGGTGTTTGAGATATTTCAATGTTATGTATCCAGTATTTTAAACAATTTAAAGAAGCGCAAGTGAAAATGCCCCTGTATCTTCCAAAGTAACCAAAGTACAGTGCCCCCCGCCTAACAGACCTCCGTGTAAGGGATTTTTACCAAACAGACCAGCTTTGCAAGCAGTTTTTCCTCCTGCCCAACAGACAAAATCCGCCTAACAGACTTCTTATGGTTTGAAATTAGTGTTGAAAATTGAAATTTTTAATTATTTATGTAATTGAATTTGTGTAAAGGACTTTTTGTCTAACAGACTTGTCCCTTGCACAAATCAAGTCCGTTAGACTGGGGTTGACTGTACTGTATGATGCAATCCTTTGGTACAAGCTCAAGTGTTAAATAATCTGCACACAGAGCAGAAAACATTGCCATAGCATGTCAGCCCATGTGGGGGAAGTTGTCCCTTAGGGCCTGAACAGACACAGTTTATTTTGCCTGCAAGAAAGTGCAGGACTTTGCACCACAGGCACAAGTATTCTCAAGGGATTAGTTTCATCTCTGGTTTTCCTTTTTGTGGGGGGTAGAACTTAGCCAAAGAGTGGGTCTCCAACATGAGTAAATGCTAATTGGATTACCTGATTATTGCCACCTTTTGTGCTTCAGCAGCTCACACCCCCACAAAATCAAGTTGCTGCTGCTTCCAGTGTTGCCAAATGAGAAGCAAATCGTCTGACACTTTTTGAAAAAGTTTGACTGCTGTGTGCCTGATGGATTCTAGGCTTTACTTCTCTTTTTTTTTACTGTGCTGATGGAGAATGTAGCAAGTTCATGACTTCATGTTATGCCTTCTGTTTTTAGTCAATCTCTGAATATTGGCAGAACAAAGTAAGAGTATAAGGATCCAATCTACTTTGTTTCATCCAGAAAAAGTACACCTTTCTCTGCATTATAATACTTTGAGGAACCTCAGTGGATTCCATAATTTTTACTAGAAAAAGAACAAACTGCAGCACCTTGGTATATGGAGAAATGAAGAGGGAGAGGGAATATCTATACATGGCCCAGGGGTTTACATATGAGAGGAGAAAAGAAGAGAGAGAGAATAAGAAAGAACAAGGATGGGTGTAAGCAGGGTGTGGGAGGTCTGATGGCTGCTGCTGCTGCTGCTGCTCTTGCTGCCAGCCAAGAACCCATGGATCAATATGGATAAAGGGAGAAAATAAGTTTCCTTTCCTGTCGCCCACCCTCACACACACACACACACACACACACACACACATGCCACTGACATGCATTAGTGTCATGGGAAATGAAGGGGAATGGCTCAGCTGCAGCATCAGCCCCTTGTTCCTGAAGGGAATAGTCTGATGGGATCAGGAAGGCATTTGTGCTTATTCCCATCCTTTATTGATTTTTAAAAATTTCCAGGTACACACAATATAATATTTGTTTATTTTATGATCTATAAATAACATTCACATTTGATCTTGGATTTGACCTGTATTTCATCTTGGAATTTGCAGGCATTTTGAAATTGACACCTATTCTCAACTTATAATTGGAATGGATTTCATATTGAAATTGACTTGTATTTGAATGAACAAACATAAATCTTTATTTTCTGCTTTTCAGTGTTCACAAGGTTCAATCAACATTTCCACATCCAAAGCCCATCCCCACCCAATCCAAATTCATTCAAAGACATTCAATCACTTCAGAGTGGGAAGCAGAGAAATTAGATGCAAATGGATAACAAAAATAAAAGAAAATACATTCCACAAAATTCAACTGCACATCTGATATGTTTGCATACACCCCTTCTTTCCCTGAAATTGAAAACAAAATATCAGTAGAAAGAATGGTGGCATAAGCCAATTTAAAGCACAAGGTCTTTAGCTTGGTTCCAGATGAGGTTTAGTTGAATGAACAAATTAGAGAGAATCTGTGATGAGAAATCATATAAGGCCAACAGTTTATCTTAATCCTTTAAGATTTCAGAAAGGGTCTCTTCATTGAATTCCGATACTTCAAATTTCATCATACTTGAAATTAGACTTGTATTTTATGTTGAGAGTTGAGATTGGAAGTTTTTTAATTTGAAAAGGACACTTTTCTTATCTGTATACTGGTATCTTTATCTTGGAATTTCTGAAATTTTGTTACATCTTGACTGGTGGTACTTTATTTTTGAATGTTGTTTACCAGTTTAGTGTAACAATGGGTCTTTTGAACAGAGAAAACTATCTTCAAACTTTGTGGCTTGTTTATTATTCAAATACAAAACATCTGTGAAATAGAATATTCCATTTGAAGGTTTTCTGCACACCAAAAAGGCATGTTTCAGCTAATTTTGAGTTATTGACACCTTTGAAATACTTTGCTGAAATATAATGCAATAAAGATCACCAAAATCAGCATGAACAACTAAAATTTGAAAAAAGAGAGTAATATACTTTTTTGAATGCCCTGCTGTTGTATATAAACAATGCACCAGCAGCTGAATCAATGCTGAACATGGCAGCATTATTTATCCCTGAATATATTTTATCTTGTATTATATTTCTCCTTTCTTTACTGTTCCTTTTTTATGTATTACAGCTGTTGGTGACCGGGTTGTTGGTGGGCTGTTTCATCAGGAAACCCAACCGCACAGACTTGCTGGTGAGTGTGGGTCTTTTTATGCATACTGTAAAGCACAGAGCTGCTCAATACTCCAATACATTATGCAAGACAACAAAAGAAGAACAAGAATTCCTGCCCTTTATTAATATGGGGTCACAGTCTTTCATATCCCTGGGCAGAATCAGGTTTCCAAGACACAACCAGGAGTGATTTTTATACATGTACAAGGGGAATCTACAAAGTGTTGGAAAACTGTTTCTGAAGGATAACATCCTGTTTGAAGACATCATGAATTACTGTGGAATTTTTGAAGAAGTTCTGGCAGAAATACCTCAAAGAATATGAAGTGAGAAGCCTTGTGGCTAATTTTATGAAAATGTATCCGAAAAAATTCATTTGTTTCATTTTTACTTTCCATAAAATTAGAAGAATTCATCAAAAGTTTGCTTCAGCTTGTCTTTCACTCTTTCTGCCTTTGAATAAGGCAAAAAATTTGGAAGTGTATTTACTTCTAACAGGAGGGACGTGGGGAAAAGTTTGTTACCCTGACAAATGTTCTAAATTGGTATTATTGGTAAAAATATTAAAATTAAATGAATCACTTTTTGAATCCCTGTATTTAGACTTGAATGAAGTTTTTACAGTATATTAATTTATAAAATAAATTTATGTAATTATCCCTATATTTAGAATTAAATTTTGTGGTTGGTATCATGAATTACAAGGGAATATTTTTAGAGGTTCTGGCAGAAATGGCTCAAAGAAAATGGAGAAACATGTTTTTATGGCAATTTTTTTCAAGCTGTATCACAAGAAATTGATTTAGGTTCTCTTTCAAACTCTCTGCCTTTGAAACTGCATAAACTCTGAACATGTATTCACTGTACTTCTAACAAGGAGGGATTTGCTGAAAATAGAAGTAAGAGGTGTTTAGAAATAATAGATTTACAAGGATCAGCAAAAGATGCTAATCCTGGAGGAATCTTGTGGGACCAGAGTGGACCTTGAGTTCCCACCATCTTCCTCCCAAAATTTGTTTAGTCCTTCAAAGCCTATTTTTATCAAATCCTTGAGCATCAAGGAACTTTTTTTCTCATTCATCTCTTCATTGAATTGTTATCCAAAAATTATAATTCCAAAGTGAGTGATCAACAATGATCAGTCATTGAGAACTACTTCTTATAATTAGAGGAGAAGGGATCAGAGATTTAAATCATTTTCCGCGACTTCCAAAGGAAACACAAAAGTTACTCCATGAGAGTATTTCAAATGTTATTTTATTATATCTTCACACACAGTCAATACAATACAATGCTATGGAGCAAAGCGGCGTGGATTTGGCGGTTGGACAGAGTCTGGTGTGGTAAACTTAATGCAACATAAAACGCACCTGTATATATAGCTTTGGCCGGCCAAGGTCAAAGAACTTGCATAGAAACTGATTCAGATTGGGGACGTCACAATTCATTTATTCAAAGGAAGGAAGCGTGAGTGGAGTTGGGAAAGTATTCCATCAACAATAGGATTGGGAAATATGATTGCTAGCGCACCAGGCGCAGCCAAGTGTAGCGGAAATACATTAGCTTAAAAGGGTTGTGCGGAAAGTGAAGTGTGTTGTGGTTGTTAATATGACTACAGAATTTGCTTTCCTGTTTGCTGAAAACTAACTGAAGAATCAATGGAGTCTTGAGTTTTGTGTTGTGCAGACCTTGCTAGAGTCCGGTTTTTGCACTTGTGTTTGTTGACAATTGTCTTCTTTGAGTTGCAGTTGTTTTAACACTTCTTGCTGTTTATCAAATCAAGGAAAATATATCATTTTATGCTAGGAATTTTTAGTCCCAGCCACAGCCCAGCTGATCAAGCTGTTTTCTTTCCTGTCTTTCTCTCAATAATACATCTTTAGCTCAATTATCTGAAATTCAATTATTGATTTATCAGTCCTCAAATTTCTCAATCAAAAGGAATTTAGCAATCATTCTTTTCTTGTCTAGAATCTATTTCTGACAGGATTTATGAGAACAATTTTGGTAATTGTATACTGACTTTGTTTTATGATGGTGCTATTGGTGTATTTTTTACATTATTAATTTATTCATATCACTTCATTTGAATTCAGACAAAGTTGGCAGGGCTGAGCTGCTTGACCAGTGCAGTTGTGTGTGTTGTGGTGACAATCACAACAACAGTTGTGCACATGAATCGCCTGCAAACCCTCAGGGAATGCGTCTACACACCTCAGGCCAGGGCCTGTGCTTGTTTCTCTGCCATTCCTGACCCTTCTGCTTCTGGAAACCCGTCGTCCAACTCAAATGAACCAGGTATTTGTAATAATTCGAAGTCCAAAATATAGTTTTTGATGAAAAAAAATCAAAGAAGAAAATGTAGAGTTTTGAAACCCTCCTGTAGGCTGATGAGTTTTTATCACGATTTTGTGTCGTTGGAAAATTGTAGCGCTTTTAAATAAAAATATCTATATATCTAGGGTATTTATTGCAAAATACCCCGAGGGCGTGAGAGTTATTGTGAGCAAAGGTCGTGTGTGACCCCGAATGACCTTTTTCCGACTGAGGCTCATCCATCTCGCGATTTCCTTTGTTTCCGTGCAGAGAGGATGAAGCTTGATGATGAAGGTTTCGGGATTTTTGTTCCTGCACGCAACATCCTTCTAAATATACTACATGACCTGGTGTTGTAACTGGAAGAGTAATTATAACATTTTATTCCGTGTGGGAATTAATCATATGTAACATTTGTATTTAAATGAAACAATGTTTGACTGAGGAAGGCCAATTTTAAAAAGGGGTTTGAAATAACTTTCAACTAATCATAATTTTGTTGATAAGTGATACAGTAAATATTTCACCATGTTACTTCTATATCTTGATACAGTATGAACCATATGTATTTTAACATAAATTATATATTGTTAAATACTGTATAAATGATATACAGTCAACCCCCGTCTAACGGACTTGATTCGTGCAAGGGATGAGTCTGTTAGACAAAAAGTCCTTTACACGAATTCAATTAAATAAAAAATTAAAAATTTCAATTTTCAACACTAATTTCAAACCAAAAGAAGTCTGTTTGGCAGATTTTGTCTGTTGGGCAGGAGGAAAAACTGCTTGCAGAGCTGGTCTGTTTGGCAAAAATCCCTTACACAGGAGGTCTGTTAGGTGGGGGGCCACTGTATATTTTAGTGTATATCATGCATATTCAAATCATAATTCATGCATACATCATTCTTTCACACAGTGGGTAAATATGATTAAATTTCTGTGAGTCTTCTTTGGTTTTAATGAATAATGGAAAAGCTTTTTTTTTTTTAGTTTACAGTACTTCATGAATGGTTAGCTGTAAAGTTATCATCCATCCAGAATTATGAATAGAAAATGTTATCAGGATATTCTTCTATGTCAAACAGTCATCAGTGGAAGCCATGGTTTAAAAAAAAGAGTATCTTCTTTTAATTTTCTAGAGTAGATAATTATATTTGATTCCTCGGCAATGTTTTTTTAGAAATTTTTTTCGGAGTGTCCATGCCAAAAAGTGTGAAACGTTAACTTTTGAACTTGAATTTGAAATATATCTTCTCATTCTTTGAAATTCTTTTTTCTCTAAATATTATCCTGTATTTTATCAGAGATGAAAAAATAGATTATTTGTTTATACTGGTTTTCACATGAAGAACTTTGCTTGGACCCCATATTTATATGCCTATTTCATTATCCACATGCTGGTGCTCATTTTCACGATTAGCACTGTCATGTAGTGTTGGATAAGTTTTTTGTAGATGGACGAATCAGAAATGCTGTGAAAGTGAATGATTTATTTTATGAATCTGTCTTTCTCCAGGTGGAAAGTTTGTTTTTGCTGGCACGGAAAGCTGTGATGTGATCCATGGGTCTCTGTACACTTGCCTCAGGGTCTTGTTTGGGGTGTCAGTGGTTGCCATCATTTTATGCATCTTTTCTTGCATGCTGACTTATCAACTAGTGAGGTGAGGCAAAAGAAAATGAGTTGTCTTTCTCACAATCGTAGTTTACAGTTTAATCAAGCAGATTTTTTGTGTGTATAATTAGTCATGAAAAAAAGAAGGCCTACTGGAGACAGTTGGAGTTGAGGAGGCAGTCTCACCTCAGGAACCGCCCATCTTTTCTCTACTGTGGCTGCCATGATGAATATGGATTTCCAGGTGGTGAGAATATTGGATGGTGTTCCTGCTCCAACAATGCAAGGTGATTTACAGTGCAGTAAAACTGTATTCAACTCTCTGGAGTATACCCATTAATCAGTCATGGAGAGTTCTAAAATTTGTGTTTGCTGTGTTCTAGATTGCTGGAGTCTGCTACTGATGTCATGAGCAGTCCTGCTCAAGAATCAACTGCTGGATGTGCTGCTCAAACAACAGGCCAAGCTGGATCCAGCAGAGATCATCAAGATGGCAATATCTCCAGTGGCTGGAGGTTTCTTCCCTGGAGAAGAAAGAGGTCATTAATTTTGACAAGTCAAGTAAAATTGACAAGTACAGTTGATTGAGTTAATGAACTCAATCGATTTTAAACACGTGTTTTTTTAACCAAGACATTTGTTAACCAAATTTGATTTTCTAAAAGACTTCAATGGGGAAGAATTTGATCCAATCAACAAACCCACAAGACATTTGAATGTTGAATATTTGAGAAAATTCAAGACCTTCAATTGTTGCTGGAAAGAGTTTTTGCAGCATTTTTATTAGCCCAGAATGCTTTGAAAGTGTTATATATAAGTATCACTGATGAAAACAACAATAAAATGCTTCACATCCAGAGAAACAAACACTCAAGGATACAGGACAGGTGAAAAATATTTTTTTCAAGGCTGCAAGTAAAGATGAATTATATACCTTTCTAAAAATTGAAAAATGAGAAAAGCTACCACAGAAAAGCAAATGAATCATGTAGCTGAACCAAATGTTGATATCAAAGTGCCAAGAGAAAAGCTGTTTCATAGAAGTGAATTAGTAAAACTTTTATTTTACTTTGAATTTCAACATCAAAATCAAATTTTGAATTCTCAAATTTGGGATTTTCCCCCAGAAAGAAAGTGTGTCAACCAAATTTTAGTTTGTTAACTCATGGATTTTTTCCTGGAAACCAAAAGTTTGTTAACTGATCAGTTTGTCAACCAAAGGTTTGTCCACTGTAATATATACAAAGCAAAAATTGTGATAATTCATGGATCATTCTGGTTTGTGAAATTGACAGAAGCCCCCAAGATGAAACATCAGGAACTGAGGTCATGACCCCAGGCTCCCAGGCTTGCACAGAGGAGTCCTCAGCAGGCCCATCATCAATGGGCAACTCCTCCAGGTCCATCAGACACAGCATCCTGTCTGCAGAAAGCATCATGGACCCTGGCCCACGCTCCAGAAGAGGCATGGTGGGCAGTGCTTCTTTTCATATGGGGCCAGGGTTCTGCCATTACCCAGTTCTGCCAACATACCAGGCAGAAGACACTTGTTGGGGTCCTCCACCTCCTTACCCAGACTCCAGTGGCCACTCTGACAATGGCTCAGAAGCCAGCCCTGCTTTGGGCTCAAGGGCCAGGAGGATAAGTGGGAGGAAGTTGAGGCCTACATCTTATCCTGCTGCTTCAGCTGTCAGGGGTTTAGTTTACAACAATCTGCCTCAGGCTGGGCTGGTGCAGGGCAAAAGGACCAGGAGGACTGTGTTGACTGGAGGAAGACCAGGTCTGGGTTATTATCAAGTTTCAGTAATTTCTTATAGGCATTCCTTCTAAGTGATAAAGCAATTTTTTTTTTTTAAATACTCAAGTGGTACCCTGCAATTCCACCCTAATGCATTGCTGAACTAGCATCAAATTTTGAAGCAGTCAAATTGGGAGACAATGTCAAACTCAGTGATTCCTATATTGCATATGATGTTTTGCATCTCTAAGGGGGTCAAATTGTGGGACAGAGGTCAAATATTTGCAAGTTGACCTCCCAGCAAATTATAGGCCACTGAATTTCAGGATGGTTGAATTCCAAGGTACCACCTGTAGAACAAAGTATATTCCATTTATATTCACATAATTTGTAGATAATATGCATAAAATATGTATTAAGGCTTGCTAAATATTGCAAGACTTTCTGAGAATGAGTTGCATTTGGCTCACTTACATCAGTGCATTTTTTAAAAGTTGTGCTATGAATATCATTGCATTTTTTTATTGCAAGCAACATGTATGAATTTGTTTGATCCTGTTGTGGGTCATGCAAATCCACAATTGCATGTATATTTGATTACTTGCACATTTTCTCATATTTGGCACACCCTGTAAATGCAGGCTTGTTTGTCTTTTTTTTTGCCAGATGGAAGAGGTGGAAGAAAGTTTTATGGCATGGATGTGACCCCCAGGCAAAATGCTAATGCCAGACACCATCAAAACCCATCATCTGGCCAACCTCAGGAACTCTTTTACTCCAGCTCAGCAGTGAGTCAAGAGAGAGCAGAGACCCAGTCTCCAGCCTTGACAGCCACTGATGCAGAAGTAGCCTCCTTCTTCACCAGCAGTGCTGTCATCAGAGCCCAAGGCCAGTTCCCAGAGCCTGAGGGCATGGATCATCAAGTCAGGGTCTGGAGGAGCAGTCCAGGGCATGTGGGCAGTCTTCCACTGAGGATGCCTCACAGGGCCCTGGACAAAGTTGCCAATCAAGCAATACTCAGCTGTGATAATCTCCCTTTGTTCACTGGACAAAGGAGCAGTTTCAGCTTGCCTGCCAGAGCACAAATCCAGTTGAGATCTATTCATGTATAGTTTTTGTGGATGTGTGTGAAGGATCTGTTATTATACTGGAGTGAGAAAAGTTAACCTCTTAAAACTGAGAGGTTTTCACATACTTGCAGCTACTCAGGATGTGTATGAACAGTGACATCTGCCAGGAGTCTGAGGCACACACATCAGGAAGTAATTTCTTCTGTGTGTGCCACCTTTTGATTTCCAAAGATATTGTACCAGCTTTTTTCTATATTCTGTGAAGTGTGATCTCAGTGAATGTTGATATTGGAAGCTCAGCATGCAGTGCTTTTTGCAAGATCTTGTTTAGTCAAGAGAGCTTTATTGAAAGACATGATATTACACATTTTTAGGCAAAGAGAATAAAGTTATACTGAACATGTATTGCTCTGGAAGTTCACTTGATTGGTAACTGTGAACATGAAATGCAATAATGAAGGTATTTTTTTATTCAAAAGAAATGAAAACAGAAAGAAATGGATTAATGAAAGATCTTTTTGAGTGCTAGTCTTGCAGTCAATTTTGGTCTCTGGATTGGTGTCACAGTTGGACCAGCACTTCCCAGTTCTTCATTCATCCTTTTTTGAGTCTTTTTCAACTTTTCAGCAACTTCTTGTTCCCTGAGATTCATTCTGTCCAGTTGTTCATTTTGTGAGTCCAACTCTTGTGTCATGGAAACAGCAATCTTATTGAGGTTCTGCAAAGACCCCTCAACATAGGCCAAGTCTGCATTCATTTCATCTTCTTGCTGGGTTCCAAGAATGTTTTTTGTGTGCCTTAAAGAGTAGAAACAAGAGTGAGAAGAGGGTTGTTTTTGTCTTCTGTTCAAGGAAATTCTGTTGCTGTTGACCCATGGTTAAGAAACATGATTGGTTCCACACAAAGATTTAACCCAATTAAATGCAGTGAGACCCCCACATGCGGATGCCTTGACCTGCGGACAATTTGACATACCCAGCAAATAATTTGGACGTTTCAAAACGCCTTGCCAGCGGTATGCCATGCCGTTTTGGCATGAACGTTGCAAAAACGTCATCTTGGTCGCCACTTAATGGGTCGGCCCTGAACGTTGAGGCAGACGTTAGCTAATGCACTCTCATACCGTTGGCAATGGGGTTCAAAACCGTTGACGCAGGGGCACGCAGATGATTGCAGCCGCTAAGGGAATGGCGTTGGCAAGGGTCTGGCAAAGCGTTGAGAAATGCCACTTGCAAGAAACATTGCGCAAACTGCAGTGAAATTCACCCAGAGTATATATTATAGACCTAAAAACAATATGTAGATTGCTGAATATTGAACCTTTGATGCTTCCATTGCTAAGATATGTAATACAACTGGAATGCTTGCAGAACACTTGAATGTTGGTGCCAATTTGATGCACTGTGTAATAACAATGTATGGGCAATGTTGAAACAATGTTGAAGCAAGGTACAAATGATGTTGAAACGATGTATAAATGATGATGAAACAATGATGAAGCGATGATCAAACTACATTGAAAGATGATCAAACGATGTTGAAATGATGATGAAACGATGTTCAAATGATGATGAAACGATGTTGAAATGATGATGAAACGATGTTGAAATGATGATGAAACGATGATGAAGCGATGATCAAACTACATTGAAAGATGATCAAATGATGTTGAAATGATGATCAAACTACGTTGAAAGATGATCAAACAATTATGAAATGATGATCAAACTATAATGAAATAATGATGACAGGACATCATGCAATATCTCAATTCAAAATGCATAAAAAAATTATTATTCATTAATAATATAACTTCTTTCCCATTCACACAAACCCAGACACACACATGCACACGCACACACACACACACACACACACACACACACACACAACCACACACAAATAAAGCAAGACAAGCATTTGCACAGCAATCAATACAAGGAAAATTTTCCAACCCTCTGAGGATTCGAACCGCAACCCCACAACTAGAAGCGCGCGGCTTTACCAACTGTGCCAACAACGCAGCATGTCTCTACGTTCTGTGCTTTAGGGTAATATACTACATTTGCCTGAATAATTGCCGTCTATTATTTTCAACAGATGGCCCTGCAAATATAATCAAGAAAGGAATGTTCTGGAAAGAAAGAGAATACTGAAGTGAATGCTGCTGTCCTTCAGGTTTATTTTGTTGAGAAATTCATACAAGAAAAAGAAATGCTCAATATATTCATTCGCATGCCTATAAAAAGTTTATTCACAAAAAATATACAACCAAAAGTATACTATACATATACTATACAAAGAAAGGAAAAAGTTAGACAGAAACAATATTTAATAACAAGATACAATATAAATTTACAGAAGATTGTNTCTACTTTTTTTTCACTTGAATGTTATCTTTGTAGATGCCAAAATTTCAATGTACGGTACAGAGACGCACTATTCAATGCTCCAAATGTTCTTATCAAGTTGAAAATGTATTCACTAATTCAAATTCAAGTGGCAAACAATTTTTTTCAGGGAATTCTGAAGAATATTTCTTCCAGAAAACTCAAATTAGAAATTATGTAATGCAAGTCTATGGGAAAATGAGACTTGACTTAGGGAACTTTTGACTTGGGGACACTCTTGATGCACCAATTATGTCCGCATTTTTTGGTACCTTGTAATTTGATCCTAATCTGTTGAAAAACTGGGCTGAAATTACAAAGCAGTTGAATTGTGAGACACTTTGTGAAATTCAAAAATATCAGTACAAAAATGTGAAAAAGTGGCCAAGGCAGGTCATATTGCAGGGCAAGAGTCAAATTAAAAGAAAACCTCCATGCAAATTTGACCATTGAATTGTGGGACAGCCAGGTTGCAAAAAGTTGAATTGCAAGGCACCACATGTGTGTGTAGCGGCTGTAGCCTCTATAATTTGATAAAATAGATAATTTTTTTTCTTCAGTTTATTTGAAAGGTAATTAAAAAAATATATTAATGAATGTTCCATCAACTGAAAGAAGTTTTTTGGCTCTTTCTCAAAACTTGATGTAAGAATATTCTGCAAAACCTTTTTTCCAAATTTTATCCCCATCAACTACACTTTTTTTAAATGAAGAATTTTTGTTTGAAAATAGTTTTTAAATTTTTGGTTGTGGACCAAGTGATTCTTTTCAATATAAAAAGTTTGGCAACCAAATAGTTTTAGTGAAGAAACATTGATAAGATTTGTTAGCAATCAAGAGGTTCTCTGAATTCAAGAATAATGTAAAAATGCAGTGCATAAATTTGCGCACAGTCAATTCCATCTCTTAGTTTAGATCATGCTTATATTAGATCTTTTTTATGATATGGAAAACTGCATAAAACACTGATGGTTTTGCCAAAAAATTCCCTGTGACCATTTTTGAAGAAGGTTCTATTTTGTTCCATATTTTCTACATTTTCAGCAACCTTATTTTATTCATTGATGATCCCTGGTGGAGATTCAAACTTAATGAGCTTGCTCACTGATTTCGAGGTCCGTTATGCGAGGATGACTTGAACTGAGAGACGTTGGACATGTTGACTCGGTCAGGGTCATCCCCATCATTTAAATACAGCAGATTATCCATGTCCTCATCTGCTTTTCTTTTGGACGAAACACAACAAAAGGCTTTCTTCATTTTCTTCTTGGCACTTTTCTTTATATTTCTCAGCTTTTCTCTGCCTGAAAATACATTTCAATTTTTTTTTTGGAGTTCAATAATCTCATGACTTATGGAAGAGTTATCATGAAAAAAGATCTTAGGAGCTTATCAAGTGCCCTTTCCATGTAGTTTTTCATGAACCAGTCATCTTCCCAAATAATATATTGCAATTAAACCTGTTGATGCATAAGTAAAATAATAAAATGTAAAAAATGACCCATTGGGTATGAAAAATGCCATTTGATTTTTTCAGGCAAATATCCTACTCTGAAAATTATTTCCTTATTGAATTGAGATGGTCTTCTACAAAAAGTGTTTGTCATAGGTTTCCTATATATGGTCTGGAAATGCTGCAAGGCTCTTTTATAAAAATATATGAACAAATTTGTTCACAAATACCTTGTCTAAATATTTTTAATATGTTTTTCTATGCATGTTTTGTCATGGAGAATTTATATGTTATTTTGGTAGTCCTTTTCATCATCAAGTGAGAGAGGAGGAAAGTGCTCCAGCAAGGACCTATACAAGTTATTATCCAGTGCTTGTTAATATGTGATGTTGAACTAACTATTGAATCCAAATTATGTTTTTGTTGATATTGATTAGTAAATTTCTGAGTAATGCAGAAGACACCTGTCAGAGCATCATCAGCTGCCTGAACATTCTGATCAATTTGCTCAATGCTGGTTTCAATGACATCCAGCTGTTCTCCCTGGTGGTGAAGCCCTGTCAAAGTCTTTGCACCAGCTTCTTCACTCTCAGTGACCATCTTGACCATTCTCTTGCAACTGGCTGCTGATTCTTCAGTCCTGGCATAACTGAGAGTCTGAATCTGCTCAAGCTCATCACCTCCTGATGAAAGGGCTTCTTTACTTGTGGCATTTTTATCAGATAATTGCATAATATTTTGTCTGAAGGAAGTTAAGTGATGAAGAGAACTTTCAATGGTTTTTTTTTTGTCTTTTGCACAATATGCAGAGTGGATTGTGTTCTGTATTACAGTGAAGGCTTTTTGGACAGTTGCTGTTGGTGAAGCAGGCTTCTTCAGAAAAGTTTATTTTTCAACAGTTTCTTTTAGATGTCATGCCCTATCAGAGTAGCATCAAGTTTTGTGGAGTTTCATGATACAGTGGACCCACACTTGAAAAACTTCTGATTTCAAAAAAATCACTCAGTTAACTAATCAAAATTTGGTCAACTAACCTTTTTTTGGGGAGAAATCCCTAATTTTATAATTCAAAATTCGATTTTTGAGGCTGAACGTTATGGTATAATCTAAGTGCAATAAGTCACATATATGCGCTGATATGAAAATTCCTTTCTCCTGGCACATTAATATGTGTAATCTGGTGTTTTGAAAATGGTTTCAGCTACCTTATTTATATACAGTACTTTTCTGTGACAGAACATTTGCTTGTGTTTGATGCTTTTTTTCTAGTTTTTAAATGATTAGAAAGGTCTATTTTTATTTTTATGCTTGCAGCATCACAAAAAGAAATTGAATTCTCACCTAACATACTTGTATGTATGTGTGTGTTTTTTTTCTGGATGTGAATCCTTTCTATCTTTGTTTTTATCAATGCTACTTCCATATTTCAAACTGTATAAACATTCTATGCAGATACAAGGTGAAACAAGAATGCATTCTGATTAAAGTTGAAAGTCCTGAACTATTCATGTTCAATTTCCAATTGTCTTATTCCGAGTTCACATAATAAATTAAATTCTTGCCTAAGGGAGCATCAAATTCAGTTAACAAACTTTTGTCTAGAGCCAATTAAAGTTGTCACCTGAGAGTCCACTGTATGCTGCATGCTTATTTGAAATATCATCTGGCTCTGGAAAATGTTCAATAATTTTTAGACTTGCTGCTGACAATTAGTAGTCCACAAGTTTTGGCATATTTCACTGTTTTATGGCACATGAGGTTTACAACTATCAACAGCAAAATAAAACAACATTGGAACATTTCATTTGCCCCTGCTGGGAAAGGCATGATGTGTTCTTCTCCTCTTATTCTTGGTGACAGGGTTCCTCATTCCCATCCTCCTCCTAATCTCATTGTCATTCACATCAAAGAACCCAGGTGGGACAGGTTCCACTGGCTTTTTGGGCAGAGGGCTCTTGGTTCTGGGGAACTGAGCCACAGAGTATTTGGAGTAAGCATGTCTGAACATGTCAAAGGTGGCCTTGACAGCATCCATCCTACTGTTTGTCCCTGGGACAGGATTGGGCACCACTTTTGGGAACTGGCCAAAGACTGTGTAGTCAAACTCAACCAAACCAAAGACAATCCCTGTTCAAGTAAACACAGTATGTGTCAGAAAACCTCCAGTCTCCATACATTCATTAAAAGGACTCACAAAAGTAACCCATGATGAGTGCAGTGATGACTATGGGCACAGCAATGATGGTACCCTCAGTGATCAAGAGAGTGGTGTCAATGGTGAGTCTTTGGTTGGTCAGGTCCACATCAATGCCTCCTCTTCTCAGCACATCCAAGATGTTGGGCAAGTTGCCAGTGTCAATGAGTTGCTTGGTGGCTGCCACATCTCCAGTCAGCAAAGCCCACGGTGAGGGTATCCCAAACAACTTCATCCAAATGCCATTAGCATCCTCTTTCTGCAACACATGTAAAAAAAAAAAAAAAACCCACAACAATGAGCCAAACAAAACAAGATTTTTGTGTGCATATCAGTGAAGGTGTGTATGTCATACTTTGTTGTGAGAAATGAAAGGTGTGAGGTGTTTTTTGCAGTGTGTAGGGGTTTTATTGCTGGGAACTGATGCACCAATAAGAATAAATATATGGAATGCCAATAGATAAAGAGACAAAAAAATGGATCTGCACATCAGTGGCGCCCCCTGCGCCTAATCTCATTGTCATTGACATCAAAGTATCCCTCAGGCACAGGTTTGTAATCAGGGTTGCTGAGGTACTCCTGCAAGTGCAGGTCTTCTGGTGAGGCAGCCACAGAGTCCACTGGGGGATCCTCATCAGGGTTCATGTACCTGTTGTATGCCAGTCTGAACATCTTGAGGGCTCCTTGGATGATGTCTGACCTGGAGGCTGCTGGTGGCACAGGCACTGGTCTTGGGAACTGCCCATACACTGTGTAGTCAAACTCCACCAAGCCCAAAATCAACCCTGCATTCATAAAATAAAGACATTGATTTTAAATTTGGTATTTGTGGGGAAAAAAATGGCCACTCTGGCACTCACAGGCATAGACAATGATGAGCCAGCCAATGATGATGGGCACAAAGATGACAATGAGAGCACAGATGAGCACAGTGGTGTCAATGGACACCTTCTGGTTGTTGGAGTCCACCACTATGCCAAAGATGTACAGCAGGGGGTTGAGGTTGGACAAGGAGAACAAGTTGGTGGCCAACTGTTTGCCCTGCACCACCAGGCTTCTCCAACCCTCTTCCAGCTTATATTTTCACAAGTTTTACCTATGATCTTAGGGCCTCATCAAGTTGATGAATGACTATATATCCTCACCTTTTCTGGTTGTTCAGCCAAGTCTGCTGCTGGGGTTTCTGCTGCTGCTGGTGCATTGCCATCTGCTGACCTTGCCTGAGGTCTCATCAGCAGCTTCTTGAACAAAGGTGGCACTTTGTCAGCCAACTCTTTCAGATTCAGTGGTTCTGCTGAAATTTCAGAGGCCAGCAGCAGGACGCATCCTGCCAACACCACCAAGCCCCCACACAGCCTCATGTTCATATTCCTTTTTTTTTTTTCACTGTTATGGATGAAAACAGAGAATAACACAATTCAAGCTGAACCTCCCTGAGACACTGACACAACTGAGAAAAGCAGGAACCAAGCCAGCATTTCAGGGTTCGACCCAGTGTGTTTCATATGTATGCAAAATGCATACAGAAACCTAGATGCATATCACATGATGATGATGACCCAGTAACTCTGCTTAAGGTTCAGTCACCCTCCTGTAAAGATGCAAATGTCAGCATTCTGGGGTCTGTGGGTCACTGCATTCCTTTATTTTGCCCCTTGAAAAACAAAGAAAGAGGCAATGACTGAACATCTTCTGACATGCTTGTGACATCTTGAAGAAAACTGGACTGGATGCTAATTCATCACATCCACAGCAGATGTCACTCTAAATGCATGCATGTTGAACCTGTTGAAAGGCTTTGTGTGAAATTCTCTTATTCAGGATTCCTTTTTATTATTTGAAATCTGCCTGTGATGACCATGTTTGCAAGAAAACATTATAAGGTTCTCCAAGGCCTGAGAAAGAAGCCTGGAAGTGCTTTCAATGTCATCCTGTGGATCCTCTTGGTGTTATTGTTGCTGACTGTGTTGAAGCCTAATGAATTGAGCCTTTTTCCTACAGGGGTTTCATCATCAAGGGATTTGAAGGTTTCCAGCAACTGTTCAGGTTTGTGGTATTCACTATTGATGATGATATGAAAAAAACATCTGCTTGAATGAAGCATAACAATAGCTCAATTTATTTCTCACACATGGGCACTATATAAAGAGATTCATACAGTTAACTTCAAGAGAAGATAATGGCTTCTTCAATTAAAAAATAATATTTATGTCACGATAATAAATTCAGTATTTTGATACAGTTTCATAACCACATATTCAAAGCTGCTCAGTTTCCTTGAAATAATTTGCTGTGAGCAGAGAAAAACCAATAAAAATGTGAAAGATCTCAAATACAGTACAAGTAATAAGGCATACTTTATACAACAAAAAGCACACCTTACACAACTAAAACAGCCTTCACACAATTGAAAACCTAATTTTAAAAAACTGTAAGCATTCCTGAATCACCATTGACAGATACAGTATATCATTTGTGGTGAAAAGGGTATCAGTTCAATTTTTTTGCTGGTGCACAAGGAACAGTTTGTTGAAGAGGTATTTTGCATGGAAAGCAAACTGTATTAATAAGAAGTAGATCTAAGTTGGCATTTGGTGCTGTTTGTTATTATACAGGTCCCTTCATGGCTACAGACAGAATGGATCCTGATCAAAGATCTGTTTTGGTACCTGGGATAGTGGCCTATGGTCAACCAGAAACAGTGGTGCTATTTCTGGCTCTCACAATAGCAGCTGCTTTGTTGTGCAGAATAGTCCTTGGAACTGTGGTACCATGGTTGCCAATACCAATGACAGTGCCTCTGATGGTTGCAGGACTGGCCTTTGGCTACTTAGCCACAAAGTTCCCCAAAGCTGACATTGCACCTTATCTCAAGGCTTGTGGACTGAGTTCCAGGTCCATGATGTACTTATTGTTGCCTGGTCTCACTTTTGACTTGTGTTTCAAGGTGCCTTTGCACATCTTCAGACAATGCTCTTTCCAGGTTTGTATGCATATTCAGTAGTGGAAACTTTATGATTTACAAGCTGAATGGGTTCCAGGCAACAGTTTTATGAAACTGAATTTGATTTTTTACCTCAACTCCAATGGGAAGAATCCAATCCATTCTGTAATTGCAAAAGACAATTGAACATTAAATCTAAAAAAATGCAAGATCATCAACTGTAATCAGAATTGAGTTGCTACAGCACTTTTTATGTTCCCAGAATTTCTTCTAGTGTTATGTGGAAGTAGGTCTGATGAAAACAGGGATGAAAAGGTTCAAATTCTGAGAAACACACCTTGAACGATATTTGTCAGGTGAAAATGAATTCTATTTTAATGCTGCAAGCAAAGATCATATAGAACTTTCTATCAATTGAACAGCTAAAAAAACCAAGCACAGAAAAGTAAATACAGCAATTCTGTACCATTAATAGTAAATGTAGGTGAAATAAATTTTAAAACAACAGATTAAACATATCACATTTTTCATATCCATACATATGTGAATTATTAGCTTTTACATTATTATGCCACAAATTTCAGCTTCAAAATAAAATTTCAAATTCTCAAAATTTTCCTTTTCCCATGGAAAAAAGTTTAATTTAATTTTAGTTTTTTAACTGAGGAAGTTTTCCTAGAAACCAAAAGCTTGATAACCAGCAAGCAGTTTGTCAGCTGAGGGTCCACTGTATTCTTCTTACATATACATTCCAACAATTGTCTGAAATGTTCACCTGCTGTTTTGTTAGATATTCTCCTTGTCCACCATTGGACTGTTTCTGGAAATGACCCTGACTGTGGCCTTCCTTCAGTTCACTGCTCCAATCCAGCCATTGGTCCCCAATGACTTGTTTATGTTTGGGACAGTTTCTGCTTTGTGCCTTTGTGCTTCAGACTCTCTGGCAGTGGTAGAAGTGGTCAACAAAGCCAGTAAGTCAATATTTCCATATATGTTAATCATTTTGAGTATGATCTCTCTATGTGTTTCAGTTTCATACAGAGATGAAGGCCTACCTGTCATCTTGGATGGTGAGACTATGGTGAACAATGCTATAGCAGTGGCTTCATATCAGATCATCAGGTCCTGGGTGCTGACCAGCAATTTCCCTTCAGCCATTTCTTTGGCACTTTTCTGGTTTTGGGCAGCTTTGTGTGGAATAGCGTGGGGGAGAATCATTTCAAACTTTCTTGCCAGAGTGCCACAAGACCCTATAGTGGAGATTCTAACAACTGTGTTTGCCACATATGCTTTGTACTATGTTGTGGATGAGTTTGTGAGTGAGTGTAACCAACAAATAAGTGAAGGGTGAACCATATCTGAGAAGTACAGTGTACAGGTGGTACCTTGCAATTCAACCCTAATCCTTTCCTGGACTAGGGTCAAATTGCAAAGTGGTAAAATTGTGAGACAGCATCAAATTGCATGGTTTCTACATGGAATTTGACGTTTCATGTCTCAGTGCAGGTCAAATTACACAGCAGAGGTCAAATTGATGAGTTGAAATCCCAGCAAATTTGACTGTTGAATTGTGGGATGGTTGAATTGCAAGACATCACCTGTATTGATACCCATCCAGAAGTGGTAGCAGATGGTTTTATGGATATGGGTGCAGCAACCAATATGCTTCCCCACTTGCAGACTTAGAAACTTAAGAAATTTAGAAATGTTCAGCTGAGATATGGTTTCTAATTTTCATCTGCAATGCAAATCAAAATATGCTTCACTACTTTATTTGTCAGCTTCCTGGGCATGAGCTGAAATGGTTGTAAATATCCATGCATGATCAGTATCATAGACAATGCTTCAAGATACACATTGAAATGTAGCTCAGCAGGAAACATATGATAAGCCTGTCAGGCTGAAAACAATCTGTTATCCAGGAAACACTTCGGTTTGTTTTGAGGATCTCTTTTCTAATTTGCACTTGCTTCAAGGAAGCACACAAGGTTTTCTCCATGCAGTTCTTTCCTTGTTTTGAATTTTCTCTTCTCACGTCACCCCATGTTAACAGCGTGATGCACTTTTGTTCTGTTTAAAGGAATATAAAACTCCCCCTCACAGCTGACAGTGACAAATGCCCATGCGCAGTGGCACCTCTGAAATATGGATTTCAGAGGTAAATATCTTATAAGACTGTTTTGAATATATTTCATGTTGTGTATTGTGTATTTGATATTTGCTTCATGAGGTCTGCACACTCATGAATAATATGCAAAATGTCTAAACAACCTATATGCATGAGAAGGTATATATATTACTCAAGAATCATAAATTCCTCAGATTTAATCCTGTGTCAGCTGTGGTTACTTCTCAGAGAACCTTGTGTACATTTAACAAGATTCTCTTAAACACTTGTCTGTTTTTTTTTGTCAAAGACTGTTCAACAAATTGATTGTGAATAAAATAATTTTATATAAACAGAACTGTTTTATTTTAACAGACAACAAATCACAGCAAGGTTGAATGAGATATGCATTTTGGATGCAAATATTATTGCCAAAAAGTTCCCATTCACAATCACATAGAACCATATCAGGCTGATACAGTTCTCAGTAGGTTGACTCAGCTTCACATGCATATCTATTGTCCTGTACAACCATTTCAAAATACAGTCAACCCCCATCTAACGGACTTGATTTGTGCAAGGGACAAAGTCTGTTAGACAAAAATTCCTTTACACGAATTCAATTACATAAAAAATTTAAATTTTCAAAACCAATTTTAAACCAAAAGAAGTCTGTTTGGTGGATTTTGTCTGTTGGGTGGGAGGAAAAACTGCTTGCAGAGAAAAACCAATTTTAAACCAAAAGAAGTCTGTTTGGCGGATTTTGTCTGTTGGATGGGAGGAAAAACTGCTTGCAGAGCTGGTCTGTTTGGCAAAAATCCCTTAAATGAGAGGTCTGTCAGGCGGGGGGCCACTGTATGCATCCAAATTAAGCAAAAAACTGATATGCCTGATACTAGTTCCGGGTGGTTATACCAAGATGCCTAAATATTTTCTGGACATGGATGGAATGGTAATTTTTCTACATTAACAATTCAGAAAAGTTAATCTTGATAGAAAGGTTTGATAGTGTCTTGTATGTTTGCAGCCTCAGCTGGAGTGTTGTCAGTCATGTTCTTCGGGCTGATACTCAACTGGGACCTTGAGGAGACTGCCCCAGAGATCTCTGCTGCAAGAGAACTCTGGTGGTCTGTGTTTGCCTTTGTTGCAAATGCCTGTGTCTTTGTCATCAACGCTTGTGGCATGGGGCAGACCATTGCTGACCCTGGTGCTGATATTTGGTCTTATTCTCACATGGGGTATCCAATCATCCTCTATGGTCTCCTGCTGTTCATCAGGTTCCAATCATCTGTTTTTCCACGAAAATTCACAATATGTTTTAAGAATAGAAAAATTTCCCCAAGAATACTGTATTTCATTTTACTTTGATTTTTCCATGAACCAAGGAATCTCATGTGTCCTTGATGATTTCCTAATGTACAGTATATTATACCACCTGTTCTGTGTATATGACTTTAGAATTGACCCAAAGTCTATTGCAATTCATTCTCATGAAGTCTTTCATTGTTTAGCAAGTTATCTAAAAACAAATGTAAGTGTTTTCTGGATAACATTTGTTTGCCACAAATAATATTCTCCTCTGAACTGTATTATATGAAAGTATAGAATATTTTTATTTCCCCAAATAGAAAGGACAACACATCCTTGAGACTGGTCCACATGCACTCAGATTCCCTGTTATCTTGATTATTGACTATTGATTAATTTTTATACCTCAGAATGATTGTCATGCTGGTGCTGATGCTGCCATTGAACCAAATTGGCTACTGCATGAGTTGGAAAGATGGAGTGGTGATTGTTCTTGGGTGGCTGAAGGGTGACATGGCCTTGACAATAGCTTACATGAGTGTTCAAGATGCTGACCTGAAACAAAGACTAGGGAATTACAACATTCAATTGGTGAATTGTATTCTCTGATTTCAACCAAATTTACAGACCCTTTATATATTTTTTTCTATATACAGGCCTACTTTTGGACAGTTGTTGTAGCTTGGCTCACACAGTTTTTCAATGGCTTTGTCATGAAGTTTGTCCTCTCATTTCTCAAGTATGACCTCAAGACACAGTTCCAAATTGAAGCCATGAATCTGGGAGTCAGTGAGCTCAATGAAGCCAGAGACCAGTATTTACATTCCCTTGAAATAATTCAGCTATGAATTCACATGAATGTTATGGATTCTTCTTCTTTTCTTTTCAGAGCAATCAATGGGGTCAAAAGTGACAGGTCACTGTACAGAAGTGACTGGGGCCTGGTGGAGAAATGGACAGCTCTTCAGAATCCTTACCTTGAAGTTCAGAAACCATCTTTGCTTGATAAAATGAAGCAGAAATTATCAAAAAGGGAGCCAGTAGGTTCTCAAAGCAATCAGCCCGCAAGAAGCACCACTGAGCAGAAAAGTGACAAGGATCAAGAAGCTCTTCCCAGCCTGGAAGCTCAAACTGTCAGTCTCCATAAGACCAAAAACACAAGGAGGCAGGAAGATCATGCCATTTTTGGAGAAGAATACATGCTGAGATACCTGAAAGCTATCACTGTAAAATGGCTGATTTATTTTTTTACTTACTGGGATTTATTAATGGGTTGAATGATCTTCAGATGAACACCTGGAAGCTGCAGCAATCAGGATTAGTGTCCATGAAAGCAGCAAAGATTATAAACATGAAGGCTTCCAATGCTATTTCAGAAGGTGGACCTTTGCTGACTTTTGAGGACTTCAAAGATGTCTACACCTTTGGCTTCTTCCTCAGCACTACAGTAATATTCCACAACATCATTCCAGTGTCAAGTAAAACAGATTTTCCGATTGCTATGAAGCAGATTTCCCTGCATAACCGTTCCAAGAGCAGATTACCAGTTTAATTCAACATCAAATGCAGTACAGTCAACCCCCGTCTAACGGACTTGATTTGTGCAAGAGATGAGTCTGTTAGACGAAAAGTCCTTTACACGAATTCAATTACATAAAAAATTAAAAATTTTAATTTTCAACACTAATTTTAAACCAAAATAAGTCTGTTTGGCGGATTTTGTCTGTTGGGCGGGAGGAAAAACTGCTTGCAGAGCTGGTCTGTTCAGCAAAAATCCTTTACACGGGAGGTGTGTTAGGCGGGGGGCCACTGTACTGTATTATGTATTTATAGATTCCATTGCTGAGAAGAATAATCATTTGGACTCACAAGGATGTAGCTATAAGTCCCAAAAAACAAACTGGCTGCAAGTATTGGGCACATGTCATCAGGTACAGCAACATTGTGAGGGTGAGTCTGCAATCTGCTGTTATATTGTAAAGTAAGTTTAACAAAAGAGTACAAAGACAAGATTTTTCAAAGTTTCTCAGGGTTGCTGTTCCTTCTCTGCACTGTGTGGCAGGGATCTCAGATTTTCTCTACACCTGGAGGACTGGGGACTGTTTCTTGATGCCCATCAGTTTCTACTTCATATTTTTATGGGCAATCTTCTGTTTGTGCTTCTATGTGTTGCACATGGTGCTGGTGGTGAGCAATTTGAAAGCTTTCATTCATACTAGGGTTGTGAATGGCAATCAAAACTTTGATTGCAATCTCAGCCTTCCAAAAAAATTGTTCCCCAATCAATATTTTGGATATAAGGTTGGACATTTGCATTCTATTTACAGATGATACTTGGCAGAGTGCAGACACCATTTGAGCTCTTCTCCACCACAGTGCATGTGTTGCTGGTGATGGGGTCTGTTGGTGAATGCTGCATCAGTGCTGCAGTGCATTGGTCAAGTCTGGGAACTGGATTGCCTCAGGCATCAGACATTTGTCACTGGCAAGGAAGGACTGCCTTGATCACCAAACTGGACCTGGTTACCAAAAGCATCCGCATTGCACAATTGATAGGTCTTGTGGACTCTTTGAGTTTCATACAATTTTTCAAGCTTGCCACCAGGGTGAGTTTCTAATACAGTACTTGGAACCCTGGCTCAATAAAACCACTGAATCATTTTTGGCTTATTTTAGACTTCCTGCAGGGTTTTATTGAGGATCATGAATGAGGTTTTCAGCTCAAGAATGTCCTTGGCTTATGACATTGGAAGGGGGATCCTCATGGCTGAAGAAGGGGTGTCCAAAATAATGGGGGACATTGTTGAGGACCCCTTGATTGCTGAACAGTTTCTACACCATTGCATCACTGTTCAAAATCAGTGGCAAAAGAAACTGGGTGCATTTGATTATTGTTTCAGTGAATACAGTAGCTTATTCAATGAAGTTCCTTCCCCAAAATAATTGCAGTTCAGCTGAGGAGGGAGAATCCTGGAGTGACCAGAGCTGTGAAAACCAAACATGCCATGATGACAGTGCTCAAAAGCATGGCCTCTAAACTACATGACTTACAAGAAGAAGGAATACTTTTTGAAAAGGAATTTGTAGCCCTGGAGACAGAAATCAATGCTAAGCTGAGGCGTGTTATCAATAAAATGCCCTCATATTTGGAGGATGTGCAAGATGAAACAATCTTTGATGGCCTTTCTTGGCTCCACCTGGTGTCCAAGTCAAATGTCACAGACTTTGTGAAGGAGAAAGGGATAATCAAGACATTTGAGCCTGAACAACCTGTTGCATTTGCTGGGGATCCAGCAACTGATATCTGGTTGATTGTCAATGGAGTGGTCAAAGTCAGGGGTCTTGTCAGGGTACATATTCCCATTCAAGTGTTACATTATACTTGCCTCTTGTTTCACTAAGGAACTTCTTTTTAAGCTACTTTGAATCTGAACTTTCTTTTACTGTCAGTTAACCCTTGGTTGAAAAACTAAATTGGTTCCATGACACAAGCTTGCGAACTAATATTGATTTTCTCATAGACTTCAGTGGCAAAAAATGCAATCCAATCCACTGCAATCCAGTGAACCCAAAAGATAATTGAACATTGAATATGAAAAAATTTCAAAGCTATCAACTATAATCAGAACAAGTTGTGGCAGCACCTTTTATGTGTCCAGATTGTTTTGACTGTCATTTTGAAGTAGGGCAGATGAAAGCAGAGATCAAAAAAGCTTTTAAAACACATATCGATGGGATTACACGACAACTCACACAGCGACAACTCACACAGCAACAACTCACATAGTGCGACAACTCACACAGTTCTTTTTTCTTTTTTACTTATTTTTCTTTTTTTTTTATTCAGGTTCTGGCAAAAATGTATACCTTTTTTGTGTCTAGATTTTCTTTATCCTAAATTAATTGCATGCATTTATAATACAATTTTATAAATTTTTTTATAATTGTTGTTATCCAGGAAATACTCGGGTTTGTTTCCAAGACCTCTTTTTAAATTGCACCTTACTTCGAGGAAGCAAACAAGGTTTTCTCCTTGCAGCTGTTCCCCTTGTTTTGAAATCTCTCTTCACACGTCACCCCAGGTTAAACAGCGTGACGCGCTTTTGTCCTCTTTAACTAATAAAACTCCCCCT